AGAGTTAGACCTGCTGATACACTTTTTATAGTGTTTGGTGAAGAAAGTAAGTTACTATAAATCCTACCCAGGATTTGAGATTTGGACGACCCTAGGCCCACTTAAAACTGTTAGCTATTATAAACCCACTACAAGAGAGGTCTTCATTGTCGTTGCTGAGTATAAAACTAGAGGGTATATGTTAGTAACGTCAACACTTATTAAGTTTTGAATGACTTTGCTACTGAAAAATTTATTAAACATTGTTTAGCATTCTTATTCACTCATCGAGAGTTTAGTGTAGCTAAGGGGTAGCCTACGAGGCGATCGCATTGGAATCGAGGTTATGAATTTTTTTGTTTACTAAACTCTACTCCCTTTTTTTATGAGTATATTTAACTTAGAAACTGGGATATGTGCTAAACATGAATACTATACGATTGGAAGAAGAAGTTTAAATACGGTCTTATTAACACTTTGTCGCGTGGAAGAAAAGTTTCCTTTGCAATTAAACTTAACACTGCAGCCCACGTGGGGTGGAACATAGTCTGGGGACAGCGGTATGGACTGAAGTGCTTTATTTTTAGAACATAAAAAAATACCTACATATATAAGCACGACACTACTGATTGCCAAGATCGTAGACTTCATTATTTGACGAACCCGATTATCTTAGAAACACAGGTTAAACAATATTCTTGAAGTAGCAAGTCTAGAATACTAGAAGTTTTAAACAATGCCCGATGTTTACAACTTACGAAGGGAACTTAACCAGTTTGTGTAATTTAAAGCTTATTATAATTTAGGTGACTAAAGAAAAGTGCATTTGTAACAATATTAGGTAGAAAGAAATATTTTTTAGATGGGGACATTCATGGGTACTTTAAAATACTTTTAAGTTTTAAGAACTCTTCTCAGATTCCACTTACTCCAAGGCAGCACTTTGAAGATAAATGTTTCAACTGTTCCTCTTCTTTATAACATTACCGTTCCAGGGTGTGCTGGTAATAATACAAAAATGTGCATAATTTTTTTTTATAAATCTAACAAATTATTTATTACCTTACGAAAACGGTTTTACTATGCCTGATACAAATGATACTGTTAACAAAGATGATGCATAATACTCATTGAACTTGTAACTGATTTTGTAAAAAAAATAAAAAAATATTTTCATTTACATATCTAATTACTATATTTAGGTAGGGGAATAATAATGTCTTTATTACGGTTGAGGATAAAGACTTTAAAATGATAGTCCCTTAAGCATCTCTTGTTAATAATTTTAGCTTGCATATTGAAGAAGAGCACCAGCGAACCGCCTAAAGAGTGACTTAAGACAAAGTATAGAACGTAATGAGTCGGAGAAAGTGAGGAGGAGCATTAATTTATCTTTCAGTAGAAAAAGGGTGTTTATACCTTAAATGGAAAAATCAAAAGAAAATGTGGTGAAAAAATAGTTTCACGTGGTGAGCACGTGATTTAACAGGGTTGACTCCGACATAAATATTTTATTGTTTGTTTATAAAGTTGACGAACTACAGCTAAGCTTTAATTTAAAAGAAGGACTTCAAACACTAATTATTTAAATGAGTTAGAAATAGTCTTTAAGGCGGTGAGAAAAAGAAATGATCTTCTGTCACAAATGCACACATCTGCTTGTAAGATACATGCTAGAAGTAAATAGTAGTTATGATGGACTAAGAACTACAAAGCTCTGCAAAACTAATTTTTGTTCAGCTGCATTGGTAAACTTTGTGTTCCAAGATGCTGAATCCAAACATCACCTCCATTTCCCCCTATCACATAAGGTTTTTTGTAAAATAATAGGGGTTTACAATAAAAAATCAAGCGATGATAGAAATCACTATCTTTACTACATTGTACTAAATATATCATTATTCATAAATAAACGAACTATTCCTTTATGATATATTAATAATTTTATGTTCACTCTTTTTGCCTTTGAAACCTTTGATGCTCCTTCGAACACGCTTTCCCTCTCCATCCTTCGTGCCCCGCTTGATCAACCAACAATAGTCAACTACATATTCGCATCTTCGAAATTTTAAAAAGGACAGCTATGTTTTATGAAGCTTAGGAAATGGACGCCGCCTCTTTTCTAGGAATTTCATGTAAAGTAGGTGGGTCTCACTTTTGGTAGCGATATATATTTTGACAAATAGGAAAGCATAGTAACTTTTCTCTTTAGCCAAGAAATTTTCCTTTTCAAAATAACCCAAAAAATATTTAATTAAGTATGTTTAGTCCTTTTAATATCTTTTTTATATACGCTACATATGCGTAACTCTTCTTTTTAGCTTTTGGAATACTTTATATTAAAGTTTTTCGTTTTGGGCTCTTATTAAATTGTTGCACTTAATTAGCTGAGTGTGACTCTATAGTACCAATCGTTACCAATATAATTTTTTTTTTCTTTTTCCCTTCGTGAAGGTTAAACGATACATCAATGTAAACTACAAATATTATGTGCGCCACACTTATATTTCATAAATATGCATATTATTGAATGCAAAATTAAACAAAATTTATGGAACTTATGGTGCTTTCACAGGCTTGAAGTTTCCATAATATAAATCAACACTATGGAATAATACATGGTTATTAAATAAGTTATAATGTTTAGAATTTAATAACCTTTCTGCACGATTTAAAATTTGAATAGTTAAGGGTATTATTTAAAGTTAATTAGATTCCTTTTAAAATCTACTGCTACAATATGTTTGGCATATATGTATGTTATTAATAAACACATGTGTGGTTTTTCATACTCTTCTGTTCATTCTTCCCTTCTTTCTTTTTCGGTTTTTACTGAGTCTTTAGTGTTTTAGTTTTACGTTGGTCAAGAGGAACTGCAATATTATAAAGGTAATAGTATTAAGTCTAGGGGTTAGAACAAAAAATAAACGCCTGGAGGGCGTTAAAGTAGAAGTTAATAAAATTTAGTAGCCCTAGAGGACTACTAATTTTATAATTGAATAACTAATTTTACTTAATATTGTAAACAGATTGATAAACTTTATTTAAATATATAAAACTTTTAGATAATTCATTTGATAAATTAGGATCCTCTTAACAGGTACGACACCACATAAAAAAAAATTATAGTTTATAGTCATTTTATATGTTTACTTATTAAATTAGCCATATGCCTTTCAAAGAATAGAGCATATACAACTAGTTAAAATCTTTTTAATTTATTTTAAGATTTTTAGAGTGACGCAAAAAGAAAAAGTATGAGTTAATGCATTAAAAATGTGTAAAAAAATTGGAATAATTGTAATAACTTATTCATTTCTATACTTAAATAAATAAGCCCTGAACTTAAAAATTTAATAAGATATCAGTAAAATGAGTATTTTGAGGAGAATTACTCATAAAGAATAATTATAAAAAATCTATCACGATAAAAATATAAAGTTTTTAATGCTGAATTAAAAACTAAGGTTGTTACTAGTGATGGTATGATTTACTACAGTACGCAGTTAAATAAGATAGATTGCGCTTTAATTAATTTTAATGGGTAGGTCAATCTATCAAAATTATGTTTATAATTGTGTATATATATATTGATATTAACCTTAATAAACATCAAGATTTTTGTTCTCTGTTCGTGGCGTCTTTTCAGTTTATAGGGCTGTGGAGAGGTTTTTTTGTCTAGAGAACGAGTTTGACGTAATGTCTTGATCTATTGAGCCGAACAGAGCGTAGCCAGTGGCCGTCTATAGTATAGCATATTAGAAACCTAACTTCTAGGGAGCGTGGGCATTATTAAAGCTTAAAAGCTTAAAAGAAAATTTTAAACAATTACTGTAGTTAAATAATGATTAAACTTTTGAATCTTTAAGAAGTTATGATATGTTGTACAGGATTTAAAATTGGTAAAAGATAAAAAAAATTAATAACTGAAAGATTTTAAATGCTGAATTATAACTAAGTTTATGACCCTGGTTAGAAGTATGTGTTTTTAACTTTTAACTAGTATATTATGAAGCAATAATTTTTATCAAAAAAGATTTCTTATATAGAAAAAATATATTAAGATCTATAAAGAGTTAACTATTAAACAACGAAATAAGTTTTATGGGGAGCACTACTATACAAAAAAAAAATTTGAATCAAGTGACACAGTTTGATAAAATTTAAATTTTTTTCTACTGCTGAATAATTAGTGAGTAACCTTAGTACTGTAGTTATAAAAATATCGAGTCTGAACTTTTTAATATTTAACTATGAAACAATAAATGTTTTAAAAATGTATTTTATATATAGAAAAATAGAAAAAGATTTAAAATTACGAAGTTATAACTCTTTTTTTGTCGTTGTTAAAAGATTTAAACCATTTATATAGTTGACTGTGGACTGATAAATAAGTTCTATGGGGAGAATTACTCAAACGGAAAACATATTTAAACAAAGGTGAAATAATTAAAAAAATTAGAAGAACTCTAAATGTGGAAATAAGATCTAATTTTATCACTCTAATTAAAAGAAAGGAGATTGAATAAAACACTAAAATAAGTTTTACAAAAAGTTAAAAGTAAAACTTCACATGATTGGTGGTTTGAAGTCTTTTGTAAAAATCCAAAGTGTCCAGTCCTAAATAGTTTTTTCGTTTGCTTTTTTTGGTTAGTCCATAATTCGATAGAAACATTCATCTTAAGTAATAATTTTTCAGGCTGATAGGTGAACTTGGTCAGTTGGATTTAAAAAAGTAATAGTGTTATTATCTCTATGGAGCTGTATTATTAGTCACTTCACTTTATTTATTAATATTTGAAACAGCTTTTAGAAAAAAATTTGCGAGTTTTACTCTTAAAAAAAAATTAAATTTAGTGGAATTCTCCATGAATAGTGTTCAAAAAAAACTTTTATTAACATTCGCGATTGGAATACTAAGTGTTAGTTCCTCTTATGAGTTTTTAATAAGTAGTTCAAATCCGTATATATATGAAACAACTTGTTCAGCAAGTAGTATAAAAAAAGCTATTTCTAAGCAACTTTATCCTATTTTAAAGGAGTTAAGCCAAACAACTTTTTTTAGGTTTTTATTTATTTCTACAATTATACTTCTCATAAAATGTAAATTTTTTTTTTCTTTTAAAGATTAATTCGAGTTAAATTGGACGGCCAGAATTGTCCCTTAACCGACTTTTTAAAGGTGAGGCCCTTGGATCTTTAAAAAACTTATTATTATTTTATAGTTTTAAATTAATATAAAAAAGGTCCAAACTACTTCTTGTAACTCAGAAGTTAATCATTATGGAGGTTTATTATTTAAATTCTTTTTCAGAAATTTAATCTTGGTTCTCCTTTATACTGCGCTTTTGAGTTATACAATTTATAAGGATTTTTTTTAAATTTCTTTTAAAATATTCTGTTAACATATTATTCACTAAAGTATATATACTTTTACATGAACTATATACAAGGTTATGCAGGTTTTTTTTATATTACTTTTAGTATAAGAGTATATTTAATTTACTTATAATTATTATTGAAGCAGTAAATATAAACTTTCTGATGTTGTTCCTGTTATATATAGTTTTTCTTATACCATTTATAAATTTATATATTTATTATAGTAATTATTTTTTTACTATGCTCTCATTTTACCTTATAAATTTTAATAAGCATATAAACTAAGTTGAAATATGTAATTTGTGTAACTATGCAAAATAAATAACCCACTTGTAGTGTTTCCATAAACTTTAGTTTTTAACAATTTACTAATGTAGTTTACTAATTTATTTCTAATATTAATAAATAGTTATAGATATTTATCTTTTTATATTTAACTGTTATATATATAATACCATTTTTACTATAAAAAATTTCTCAATTATTTTTTTATAAACGCTTAATCTTTTGATATATTATATATTTACTTGCACGCCTCAATAAGATCTCATCCAAAACCACAAAGCGAATAAAGTTTACCAACCAAATGCCAATATATCAGTTATTTTATTTTTTTTAATTTCGCATTAGAAATTAGTTAAGTGCCAAGGGCCTATGCTTAAATCATGTTACGTAGAAAAATTTTAGCGTTTCAAATATTTCTTTTATAAAGCTACTAAAAGGAGTTTAAAATTCAGCAATTATCCGCTGAGAAACATTTTTACAATGTAAGCGGCGCTTAGAGATCGTTTTAATAGTGGTGCTGGTGCTAAATTCACAATAAATCAAAGAGAGCATCGGACACAGTAATGCTCAATAAGTTATAAATATATAAAAGATTTCTAAAGTAGCTTCATTTTCTTCTTTTTCACTAATTAAAAACTGTTTGCGTTGAACGTGCTATATAAATAGTATTTTACAAAGCGAGCGTTAACATAGAAAACAATATAAAATTTGGTGTTTACTGTTAAAAATTTAAGTTAAAGCTTTTTCCAGGAATGTTTAGAGCAGCTAACTTGCTTAGAAGTACTATAATAATAAGCATACGGAATACAATCACTGAGCGTGTGCACTAGTAAAAGAATAATTTAGTAAACTAACAAATTTATTACTTTTTTACTTTTAATGTTGGCGGGAGGCACTATAAAAGTTATAGGAATAAATGGGCTTCATAAAAAAACGAAAAAGCTTTGTGCACACTTTTAAAAAAACATATACTAACGAAAATGTTTAATTATTAATTTGTTTTTAATAACAGGGAAAGTTGTTCTGGAACAAACAGTTGCGCAAAACACAAGCGTAAAGTTTTAAAATCAAAAAAAATTTTTAATTCATATAAAAGTTTCTTATAATAATCTTAATGAAAGTTTAAAGCAGTGGAAATATAAAAATGGAATCTAGTAAAACGGTAACATACAGAGCACAAGAGTTTTTTGTATAGTGATTGGAAAAAATATGTTGCGCTCGAAGTGTCCAGTAACTACAAGGACGCAGCTCAAGGATTGGAAATAAATTAGATCAAAATTTCCTAAATGACCAATTAAATCTCCTGAGATGTATCTGCTTTGTCTTTAGTGCAACCCCTGCACCAGCATATTAAAACTAGAGCGATAAAAAATAGACTAGAAAGTTTTCTGTTGTAAGTTGATGACACTAAAGGTTAATGCGGACGCAAAAATAGTAACAGGAGCATAAAAATTACTTAAAAATCTTATATTTTTTAAAATCAGGTTTCTTACTCTTTTTACTAAGAAGCGTTAATCTTTTAAAAAAAGGGATTATTATTAAATACAAGTGTAAATGAAAATATAAAAGAGTAATAAAAAGGTATTTCATTTAGTTATAACAATACTTTATACACTTAAGTTAAGAAAAATGCAATAAGCATATAGAATAATTTATAAAAACATTATGGAAGAAATTCTTAAAAACTTTTTTTTTAAACTCTCTGGTTTAGATAAACTAAATATAATTAAGCCTAAGTACGGATTCTAGCATTATAGAAACTTATAATTATAAATTACGTCTTTTTTTTCTACAATTACATTGGTTTAAACTATTAAAAGAAAGCTTAAAAACAATTACCTTTTACTTTTTGTTATTATCGTTCTTTGAACATTTTTTTTTTTAAAAAAAACTTTAAAGTTTCTATGAAGTAATTCGAAACTTTTAAAGGGTTAACTAAAAACATTTAATTCTTATACAAATATTGAATTTGTCTTACAAAGGCAATACATAGTTTTGTTAAAAGCGTACGCAAAGCTTGAAAATAATATTAGAAAAATATTAATTATTAACATTTATATGAAAATATTATTTACTCAAGGAAAGCAAAGTTTATATATAATTATATTATTAATTTATCATAATATTTTATGCATTTTAACTATAGGAATTACAAGAATAAAAACTTAAGTTTAAACTTAAATTTTAACAGGAATATTAAACTTTTGTCCTTTTAAGTACGTTAACAGAATCTTATAACAATTAATTAAATTGCTTTCTACGTCAAGAGCGATTCATTATTATTATTTTTTAAGCTAATTATCTAAAAATATTTTTCAAAAAGTATTTATAGAAACATCCAAACATTTAGTATAATTTTAGAAAATAAAGCTAATGATCTTTTCAATTTTTTTATATAATTATGGCTTTTTTAAAGTTAATAAATATATTTTGTCCTTGTAAATAAAATTTTTTTTTACTGAAAATATATATTATGTATAAGAATAACGCTTAAATTTTTCTTATTATGAATATATTAATACGAAGATTTTTAGAAGGAACTTTCTAAACTTTTTATTTCCTTTATTTTATAGTAATTCTTACAATATTATAGTTTTTTATTAAATTACTGAAGGTTTACATTTATATTTATCTACAACAAAAATTTATTTACCGTACTATATTGTAACTTTACTAAGATCTTTCAAATATTATTTTTTTATTTTATTTAAATAAGTTTTATAAATAATAACAGAGATTTGTACTTTGGAGAAATCAGTTGAGAATTCTGAATTAGATTTTATGGGAAAGATTAAATTTATTTATAAAACTGATGATGTGAACCGAACTTTAACAAGAAAAGAAGATTATGCTCTAAAAGAACAAGTTTGTATTAAATATTATAATTAGTAATTAATTTATATTTTTTTAATTCGCTAAAACTATTATCGTTATAAAAATTTATATATTCTTTCTGTCATTTAAAATATATAATGATATTATATTATATGAAAAGAATTCACATATATAATTTTTTTTTAAAACAATTATAAAACATAAAATTTTATTATTAGCTTGTAATTTAATTCGAAAGAACTTTTTTTGTTATATATATTTTCTAAAAATTAATATTTTTATTATTTTAGTACTTTTTATTTACATTCATAAAACTTTTCATTTAGTATTATATTATAACTTTTTTTTATATTTACTTTCAAATTTACTACATTTCATTTTATTATTTGATTTTTCACACTTATTTCTCTTTTTGTGTATTCTTAAGCTTTTATTATTTTTTTATAAATAATTCTTGTTTTTTCGAATTTTTATCTTATTTCCTTATATGTATAATATAACTTAAAAACCTTTTTAATTAATTTATTATAAGTTATTATTAAGACTTATTTTCAGTATAACTCATTATATTCTATAATAAAATAAATAACACTTGCACTATTTATAATCAGAAACGCTTTCTTTATACCTTTCATATTAGTCGCATTCCTATTATTTATTTATATCCAGTATAAAGTAATTTTCATCATATATGTTGCAAATTTTTTACGTAATTAATCACTTTTATCCAACAATTTTTATTAATATAAGACCCACATTAGTTCATCATTTTAAAATTATTATTTTTACTAATTTCATAATTTTATATGAAATTACATACTAGATTTGTTATATTTTTCCAATATTTTTCGCAAGTTATTAATTTTATCCAATCACAAGCAAATTATCGTTTAACACTATTTTTTATTGGTACCAAATTTTTCACTAAATTATGTATTTATTTTTATCCAACCATATAAGAAAAATACTTTAGTTTTGCGTCATTTTATTAATATATATTATAATCATATTATATTATTTTTTCACCAAATATCTGCTAATGATAAATAAATAAATAAAACTTAAAAATTTATTATCCCTTTTTGTACTGCGAAATTTACCAATTATGCTTCACTTTTACAAGTTTTTTCATACATTTCCTTATTTTTTTTACGATACTGTTTTAACCAATCATTAAAAGGGAGAGTGCCACGATCCGGATCTTGGAGAATTTTGGTTGGACTTATGCCAGTACATTCCAACCAATTCCAGCGAATACGTGAATCTTTTGCTAAACCCTGAAAGCAATACGGGGTATAATGGAAGGTTTGCTCTAAAAAAGATTATTTTATTAATGATAGTTATAATAGTAATAAAAGTTTCAAGTAATCAATTAATAAATCTATATGATAAATAAATTAAATTATTATCATAATGAAAGTTTTAAGTAATTCACTAATAACTTGAATATACTAAATAAATTTCTAAATAATATTAATATTTTTGCTAATAATAATAATAGTAAAAGTTTTGTGTAATCAACAAATAAGTTATATATACAAACAAATAACTAAATAATAATAATGAAGTTTCAAGTATTCAGCCTTTCAATTTAATGTACTCTTTTTCTAAATAATAGTGATAATAATAATAACAATCGTGATAATCATAATAATAATAAAAGTTTTAAGTGATACACTAATAATTAGTAATACATATACTAAATAAATACTTAATAATTATACTAATAATAATAAAAGTTTTTAGTTATTAACTAATAAATATATTTTTCTAAATAAGTTACTGAATAATAATAAAAGTATTTTATAAATTAATTAGTATTAATAAAAGTTTTAAATAATAAAATAATAAAATAATAAAATCATACTAAGAGTTTTAAATTAATAACTTTATAAAAATAAGAATAATTAAAAATTTTACTTGTTTTGGACAACAAATAATTATAAAAGAAAATATAATTAATAAAATTATTATTCACTACGACCAACTATTATTTTTATGATTTTTTATTAATATATAGGTAATTAGTTGAAGAAAAAATAGAAATAAATAAAAGATTGCTCTATTTAATTCTCAAAAATAGAAAATAAATAAAAATAATATTATAATAATATATATAAATAATATAATTGTTATTAATTATAACATAATAATGTATATAAATTAACAAATGTAAGTAGGAAAAAAATTATTTATAATTATGATAAAATAAAAAATATATATTACAAAAAAAAGCATTAAAAAAAAAATTAATAAATAATAAAATGTTAAAGATAAAAGTATTATAAATATAAAAAATAAAAAATAAATTCATAAAATATTAATAAAAAAAAATTAAAATTATTATAATAAATAATAGTTAAAATATAAGTATTATTATTATAATATAAAAAGCTAATATAATTATGAGAAAAGAATTTTTTTTATTAATAAGAATTTATAGGCTTTTATAAAACTTTCATTATAAGGATAAGTTGATTATATATTAAAGTATTATTAAATATAATAATACTTACTATAGAAAAAGAATATATTCCTTTCTCCGCAGTATATTATAAAATATAATAATAATAACAATAAATTTTTACTTGCAACGATTTACATTTGTTAAAATTTTTTATACAATTTTTAAAATTCTTAATATTTCTATTCATTAGCGCAGTGTGGGCTTCTATATATAAAGAAAACTGTTTCGATTCTGTATTTAACATGAATGGGTTATTGTTATTCTTAAAAAGTTTATATTTTTTCATCTTTCTATATAAAGTCTTTAATATTTATTATTCAATTTTCTTTTAAAAAAAAGTTGATTTTTATTAATATTTCTTTAAATGTTTAGAAAATATATTATTGTAGTAAAGTTTATATGTACTAGATTTTTATACTTAATTAAATATATATATTATATATATATATTTATTATTATATATTAAAATATATTTATATAGACATTTAATATTTTTTATAAATATGTTATTTGTATTAAAGTTTTTTATATAACCTTTGTGCCTAAATTCATTATAAAAGTTTTATCAGAAATTTTTATTTTTTTAAGTTTTTTATTTTAAATATAATCTTGTTAATATAAAAATTTTATCTCTATCAAAAGTTTATAATATTATATATTATTATTATAACCAATAAAAAGTTATGTCTTTTACTTAATTATATTTTTATTCTCTCAAATGTATAAGATTTGCTTACGCTTTATTTTTACTACAAACTTTTTATTATAATTAACGTATATAACTTATAAAGAAATTTTATCAAATATTAAATTATATATTATTATATTTTTTCTCATCAATCTTTTATAATGAACTTTAGATTTTGCTAACTTTTTATTAAATTATAAATAATATAATATTCTTTTAATTCTTTCATAATTGTTAATTTTCCCATAATATATACTTATTATTATTAATTTATTATACACTTTTCTTTGTTATTTATAACTAAAAACTTTATACATAATATACTAATTGTATATATTTATTATCTTTATATATTTTTTAGTTTTTTATAATATATTACTTAGTTTATTATTTTAACGTAATTTTATTATAATTTATATAAATTATAACAACTATTTTATATATTATTATTAATGTACTTATTATTTTAATGATTCTTATTTTTAAAGCCTTTTAATATATATTTATTATTTTTATAATTTATTTACTTTATATATATAAAAATAATATTTTTTTTGTTAAAATATATTTTTAACGACAATTTACCACTGTTATTATAATTTCATTAGTATATTTCTTATATTTAGCAAAAAGTGATTTATTAATTATTGTTTTTATTAACCTTTTTATAAGTATATTTTTAAAAGTATATACTACTTTATGTAATTCTATAGAGAAATTTTTTTATTATTATAAATTTATTATATATTATTAACGACAGTTAACTATTATTATTATTAGCCTTTTATATTTTTTTAAAATTTTATAAAATGATATATTACTTTATTTTCTTTTTATAATAATTCTTCTATTATAATAATAAAATATTATTAACGACTACTTACTTTTATGATAACTTTTACTGGCATATTTATTAACGACTATATAATATTATTTTTGAGATTTTATAATAAAAAAAGTTTTTTGAAAAAAAGTTTCTTTTATAAAATTGTTTATCATATTTTATTATGCATTTTATAAATTCGTTACGATCTTTTTTTATTATTTATAATAAAAAATAAAAAGAAAGTTACTAAATGTTTTAATTTTTTTTTTTTACTTTTTTATTATTTATTAATATAATTCGTAACACTTTTCTATGCTTATTATATATTAATAGACTTTACTATGTATATTTTATTTTCCAATCCTTTTTTAATTTTTTATTACTTGTTTTTAGAAAATTTTTTTCGTTTTTTATATTCTATTATATCTTTTTAATTCATTATTTCTATTTACTTTATTGTGAATATGAATATTTATTATGAAATGCTTAAAAAATTGTACATTTTTTCGATTACTTATATCTTTTATATAATATTTATTATTATATATATATTTATAGAAGTAAACGTAATTCTGAGCATCAATGCTACGAAGAAAAAGTCCTCTACAGGCTTCTCAGCGGCATCCACACTTCTGTCAACGTCCACGTGGCTCTCCGCTTTTACCCTCCAGCATATCTCGAAGGCGACTGGTTATCCAACGCTGCTTTATTTAAAAAAGTTTATATATTTATTATTTTATATATTTCTTATAGTAATTACAATTACTTTATTATATATATAATTTTTTTAATAAAAGTTATTAAAAATTTATTTATTAATTTATTATATTATTTTCAAAATTATAAAAGTTTTTAGATAATCCTGAGTGGGTTCAAAATTTGTACTTTTCCTTTTTAGTTTTGTATCGGGCCGTTCATCGAGCCGCTCCGATCCTCCGTGATTATGACTATCACCTTCCTTCTGTTGGTAATTATTATTACTATTACTATTATTATTATTATTATTATTATTATTATTATTATTATTATTATTATTATTATTATTATTATTATTATTATTATTATTATTATTATTATTATTATTATTATTATAAACAGCAAAAAATGAAACGCATTACACTCGAAATCTTGTGAAAAACTTTTTGGATCCGCAACATATTGAAGATTATTTTATAAGTAATTATTATTATAATAATAATAAAAATTCCTTATATATTTTTTCTACAATTATAAATTTTATATGAGAAATTTTATTAAGGTTTATTATTTCGTTTATTTGTGTGGTTTTATTGTATATTATTATTTTTTTGTAATTTTTAATTATATTATTTTAATATTTATATAAAAGTTTCTTAATATAATTTATTATTATACTTATAATATTAACAAAAATTTATAATTTTCTAGGAAATAATAATGTTATAATAAAAAATTAAATCAAATATTTTTTAAGAGTTTTTATTTTTTTTAAGTTCTTTAAATAAGTGCTTACTTTATTTTCATTGTATATTTATTATATATTATTTGTTATTCTTATTCGTTCACTTTTTAACATTATTTTGTCAAACTATATTTTATTTAAAAAAAAATAAAAAAAAACTTTTTATTTCTGTTATTATTATTGCTTTATTCATTATATAAATTTTATTTTATTATAATTATAATATGTTTATGTTTATTAGTATTACGTATAAAAGTATATTTACTATTTTTGCTGTATAGTGTATTTATTAAAAAAAACTTTTTATTATAATTATAATTATTATTATTTTAATTTATTTATAATACTTTTAAGTTATTTTAATAAAAATAATATATTGACAAATGTTAATTATATCTATCGTTTTTCTTTATTAAATGTTTTTTTCTTATTATATTTTATAAATACTTTTTATATTTATTATTATTAATTGTTTATGAAACTTGTTATTTCAATACATCTATTTTATTTTTCTTCAGTTTTAATTAATAAAACGTTTTATATCATAATTTTAATACATTTAGTATAATTTTTTAATATTATTGTTTTCTTTATTAACGTTATAAAACTATTATATTCTTTTTTACTTTAAGTAAAATTTATAAATTTATTATTATAATACTTTTTTTTATTTTATTTATCTTAACTTTTTTAAAGGACTTATATTATTATGATTATTAAAAACTATTATAATCTTTACGTTAATTTTTTTATGAAATTTATAAATTAATATTATAAATTTGATGTTTAAATATTAATGTTTACATATTATACTTAACAAAACTTTTTTTTTAAAGTTATTTAATGTTATATCTGTTTTAATATTTATTTTTAAAATATGCTTATCAATATTTCTTATACGTCTTTATTATTTACTATACTATATTTATTATATGGTTATAGGAATACTTTTTTTTCAATTTTTTATATAAATAAATATACTTTAGATGAAAATCCTTTTTTTATAATTATATTTAGTATTATACTTTTTTTTTTTGTAACTTTCGTAATATTTTTATGTTATTTTATACTACTATATAATATCATAATAATATAAACTTTTACATTTAATATTATTACAATTATTAACTCTTATAAAAAACTTTTTGCTTCCATACTTTACAATAAACATTATTTTAAATTATATTAATACTATAATTATTAATAAGAATTTTTGTAAAGTTGCTTTCATTTTTTATTATTATTCCAATAATTTAATACATTTTTCAATTCTTTTGTTAAATTTTTCTTTTTATTCTACTTTTTTAATTATTATTATTATTAAGTTTATAATAACTTTTAATAGTTTATTATAATGTTTAGTGCATGAAGCTTTCAATGAGCGCTCCTTTTTTGGTGCTTCGACCAGTAACACGCGTGCCCTGAAAAAACAGTTCAAATATGTTTTTCAAAATATTACAAAACTTTTGGATTGTGTAACATGCGAGGTTACTAATAATAATACCGAGAATTATAAAAATAATATTTATAAGCAATGATATTAATAGTAATGAAGATAATAATAATTATTACAATAATATTAAGCATAGTAATATTTATAATTATGAAAATATTAATGATTACATATTTAATTATAGTAATTCTTTTTTATAATTTAATAATAAATTATAGCAAAGTTTTTATACAAACTTTTTTTAAAATAGCACGGGGTTTATTTTTATAAACGAGCTAAAATTATTTAAAACATTTAATGTTTTTTTTTATATTTTATATCATAAAATTCTTTTAATTTATTATTTATAAAGTCAATAATATTATCGATAAAAATAAATAATAATAGTTATAATAACAATGTAGTAAAGTTTATTATGCATACTCGCTTTATAATAACACGTGATTTATTTTTATGATAAAATCCAACTATTTTGTTTATTACAGTTCTACTTTCTTATAATTATTTTATTATATAAATTTTTTTATATCTAAAGTCATATTAATAATAATGAAGGTTTAACTTTTGAAATCTTCTTTTAAAGTCAACAGTATTATTTTTTCTATACTTTATTATTATTATTATTACTACTATTATAACTATTATTTTCCACTATTAAAATTTATAGCCAACCAGTATATTTATTACATTTTTGTTTACCATTTATAGAAATGTAAACTTCATGGGAAAATCCAACTTTTGGGGATCGGAACTGCGTTCAAAATATTTCTTCTTCCGTCACACATGCTCGCAGTTTCTCTATCGAGAGACGAAATTGTTTCTTTATTTAACACTCTTAAAAAAGTTACTGATTTATTAATTTATTAATCATTATTATTTTTTTTTATTTTACTATTTACTATTTAGAATATTAAAATGATTTACTATAATTTATTTTATATATGTAATTATTGACATTTATTATTCCTTATTAGATTTATTTATATATTAATTTATATTTTATTATAATTATCATTTTGTTATTAAAATTTATTTTAAAATCTATTATTGACAAAAGTTATTACTACCATAAAATATACTTATGTATATTTATCATTATTATTTTATTATAATTATTATCTGCTGATAAATATTTATTAAATGTTTTACTTTTTACTATTTATTTAAAGAATTATATATTTCTTTGAGGCTAGTAATTATTTACTTTTTACATATTAAAGTTTTTATTATTATTTTTGATATAATTATTATCTCCTTAATTTAATAATTATCATTATCTTTAAAATTTTATATATTTCTTATTATTTATTAAAATAATTCTTTTATTAAAACTAGTAAATATATGTTTCGTTATGTAATTATCTTCTACTTATCTTTCATGAACTATAATTAATTTTCTTATTATTATTTATTATTTAATCTACTTACTATTAATTTTAATATAAATTAATTATGAAAACGATAATTTATTTATTTTTATTATAATTAAAATTATTTGTTTATGTATTTACTTAAAGTTATTTATAATTATTTTTCTATCTAATGTTTTTGTTATATAAGAATATTTATTTATTCTTTATATAAAGACTGATAATTGTTATTTCATTTATAACCATATTAAATATTTATTTAAGATTTGAAGTTATTCATTATAATTATTCAATTCTACTTATGATTATTATATATTATGTTCTATATTTATTAATACATTTATTAATTATTATTTTTTTATTAAAATTAGTTTTTATTTACTATTATAATATTCAATAATAATATATAAGCTTATTATTATAAGTTATCTTAACATTAGTATTTTTATTATAAATTTATTTTTTATCATATTATTTATTATTTAAAATAAAATTATACGTCATTACTTTATTAGTTGAGCACTTCTATTCGCGGATTGGACCACCTGAAGAAGTTGTACTTCCAGGAAATTTATCAGTCAGTTAAGCGAATGCCGGACAGTTCTGCCTTAGAGCGACTTTCTATTGAAAAATTCCAGTTGATTATGGAGTTCATTATAAAGTTAACTTCATAATTTTTTTTTATAGCTATTATTATTTTATATTTATTATAAACTTATGTATAAACATACAGAATAGAAAAAAGAAAACTTATTGACGAGGGGCAAAAATCTTTATTAGTTAAAGAACTTATTAGTTTGGTATATTAATAATGATAATAGTGATAATATGAGAAAAAAAGCTTTTACAATATATTATATATATACAAATAATTAATAGCAAGTTTCCTGTACTTTTTAAAAAAAAATATTGACCAGTAGTGACTCTTTATCATATACTTAGGGCCATCCTCAAGACCTCTTCGGTAAAAGTGACCAATGCGCATTAAAAATTTATATTACTTCATTACTATTATTTGCAGCGTTGAATATTCTCTCTTTAATAAAACTTGTAGCTTTTTAAAAAAACACGAATTTCACAATTTTCTTGTTACTTTTATTGCATGAAAAATGGTCAATAGCAGGGAAAAAAAGGTAGCAATTGACTAATCATTAACAACCTATTTGGGAGGCTTTTCGGCGGAAGCGATGGGAGAGCTAGCACTTGGTTTTTTATTAGAAAGACACTTTTGCTAGAAAATGAAACGTTTTTAATAAATAAATAAAAAAAAGCCGCGATTTTTTTAAGGGCTTCAAAATTTAGTGTTTAAAATAAAAAAAATTATCTGCAAAATTTTTATTTTTCAACGATCTTTACAAAATGCAGATTATTAACTATTTGGATAACTACTAGTATTTACGAAGTCTAAATTTTCATAAAGATGTTTATTCTGAATCGCTGCTTCTCGTAGTATCTTACATTTAAAATTATAACTTTCAACTTATTAATAAAAAAGAGAAGAATGCAGAGAACCAAAACTTTTTTTTTAAAACTTTATTTCGGATTACGTGCTCACATGTGTATTTGTATATTATATATCGAAAATTGGATCTTACCAGCATCTTACCAGCTATGACACGCATCATAACTTTTGATTGGGCGCAAGTATCTGTAGTTTATCACTGGAGCTTATTAACTGAAGGCCGCTTAGCTAACGAAAATAAGAACTTGAAAAAAAACGTACTACTTTTGGGTTTTCTATAAAATGATAAAAAGTATAAACTGACATGATCGGAGTATACCCAAGGCAACAGGGTCGCACGTGCTAAAATTCTATTTATAGACCATTATTTCTTCGATTCCTCCCTAAATTTAATTATAGCCTTTACTTTTAACGCAATTTTTTTTTCAATTTATTATTTGTTTTTAAATTTTTATTATTAATAATTGGTTATAAGTTACTTTTTTAGTTCACACTTTATCTTATAATCACATGATCTCAGTATATAAATAGTTAAATCCGCTAAACTTTGTTGCATTTGTCATACTCGTGCGGATAGATAACTTTGCTTTAACTCCCTTTATAAAGTTACGCAAATCTTCCTTGCTTAGGTCTTTACATCTTTATTTTAGTACAAATATTATATGATGCATAAAATAAATCAAAATGGTGTTGAACAAACTAATGCCGGTAAAAGTTATTATTTTTTTTTGTATTTTCGCAGACTTGAATTTCGAAAACTATATGCAATTGACAAGCAATGTAAGAAAAAAGAGCGAAAAGGTGTAGAGCAGCCTTGATTGGTCGTTCTTATTTTTAAATAATTAGTAAACATTTATACGTAAAAAATAAAAACATGATTTATAAATATATCCGCTTTATCCTAATTTTTATAAGCTTGAGTTTAATATAGCGTCATAAAATGTTAAAGGAGCTAATAAATAATTGTTTTTTAATATTAAAGTATAATTATATGATAATATTTTAGAGGAATAGGACTTCAAGTAATGGCTCTTTTTATTGAGAAAAATTACTTGTTACTCTTGAGGATAATTCCAGTGTTGTGCTAGCAGATATTATCGAAAGTCGAATTTTAGCAAAAAAAGCTTATTCATATATTATCAAGACATTTATCAAATCTATAACTCATGACTTATTTTTAAAAGAAATTTTTTTTATAACTTTTGAATTTAACTGGTGCTTAATAAAGGTTAGATACAAACTTTCAAACAGATAAATAGTAAATTTTGAAAAACAATGCTCAAGCAAAAAAAAAACTTATTTCTTTAACATAAAGAAAAGGAAGAGCTTAAACTTTAACATGACCTCAATTTAACCCAAATTGTAGTAACAAAAAGTACATTGCCTTTACTACAAAATCGAGAGGCCCCATTAAACGTGAAGATCTAACCTGATAGGGTTAATTCCTACAAAATTTATCGATATAAATTTAACACGAAACCAGTTAAGGATAAACTTTAAATGAAGTTGATTTCTATTCTCTCTACCGTGTTTAGTTCCCGCCATGATTTAATTCCCATGTATCATTATATTTCATTATATTATTCCTAAAAAAAAAGGTATAGTTTTAGGTTAGTAATATAGTGTAACTCCATCAAATAATTTTTTTTCACCTGCCTTTTATATATAGAGAATAACATGGAAACCCATGATTGTTAACTACTGTCACATGAAAGTCTGTTGAATGCTTATAAGCCCCTTTTTTGTTAATAAATTCTTTTAGTAAACTCAGTTAAGTAATCTTGTCAGCTACCTGATTTTTTGTTCCTTACGTTTTGGAGTACTTGATATGACCAAGTACGCAAGCGACTACGTTGACCACGTAACCAATCCCCGGTTAGCAATCTAACCTGACAAAGACTTAACTTAATTTCAAAATTTATTACGGACACTTAGCGTATTCACATTGTAGCACTAAGTATTTTATAGCCCTTGTAAAAGAAGAACTATCCACTAAACGCCAGGGCCCTCAGGAGCCCTTACTATCTCTTATTTTACTCTCTTTATGCGTGTCTTACGTGCCTATCCTTACCGCTCAAAATCTTGGCCTCTTGCATTTTTTTAAAGGTTTACAAAGTGAAAGTAACCGTTTATTCTTTAAAAAGCCACGCCATGCTTTTTTAAAAAAAAAAAAAAAAGAATATTTTATTTCAGGCCCTCTTTCTGAACTTTAACTAGTCAAATACCTAGGTCATTATAGCAAACAAAGTTAATTGGGGGTTTACATTGTATAGTTGGTTAAAAAAGTAAAAATAAGACTCGCCTTATATCCGCTTACATGCAGAAATAGTGCTCGCAACCTAGAGATAACTTCAGTAGCTTGGGCCCATTCCTCGACCTCCAACATTAATAGACGGCAATTAATACAAAACAACTCCTGATAAAATGTTTACGGGAGCCTCTCAGTATATGAGACTTTCAAAAATTATAAAGTAAAAGTTAACTAGAATCATTTTTGAGGTATAACACGTAATAAGCGCATCGGCGAGAACTGCATTAGAGCGTCTGAAGTTCATTGAAATGAGTTAGTAGCTACTTCTCTAAATAATAACCTATTTTCCCAAATATAGACCGCCGAAAGACCTTACTATGTTAAATAATCTTTAAGTGCACAACCTTAAAGAGAATAACACGATAGTTCTGGTAAAATAGTGGTAATAGATTTAATTGGTAAAAATAATAATATACTATTGGTAAAATCTAATATAGTATATAATACTTAAATAATATCAATATAGTAAGTTATAGCACTAGTGATAACATTTATGATATATTTATAAATAACTGCTGCTATAAGTTATTAGCAACGTAGCTTTATTAGTCATACGCTTAGGATTTTTAGTGAGAAATAGTATAATAGTTGTGATGATAGTGGTAAAAGTATTAGATATAATATTGTATTGATGATTATATATATTATAGTAAGCAAATATAAAAAACTTGGACGTAAAAGTGGACACCGAAGACGTAAAGCGAAAGCCTAACGTCTTAGGAAAGAAGAGGAATCCTCTCGTGAATTTACGTCCAAAAGACGTAACTTCCGCAAAGTGAAAATTCAAAAAAGAAGGAAGTGTGGCCAATTAACTTTGGACAGACAAAAGTGCAATAACAGTGTAGTAAATTATAGCTATTATGATAACAATAAACTCGTTAATAAAAGTTAACTTAATAATAGCGTGGTTTTATTGATAAAGATAAATTGTATCTAGAAAATAAATGAAGGCTTCGTCATTTGACAAAATTATTTTAAAAAAAGTGTGTTTTTATGGATTAATTGTTGATATTAGCAATTTAACTTTTTAATCAGACTTAGCTTTGAAATGCAGCAACTTTTACTTATAACAACTGTAGCTCGCTAGGCATTTAAAAAATAAAAAATAAGCATCATTCTATTCTAAAGCAGCTGTTGTTTTTGTTAAAAATAAATATATTTATGCGCTAGTTTTTAGGAGTTGAAAACCTATCCACAGCGCACACATTTTCTTGTCTCTACAAATATATCTATATTTTTCTTAGTTTTAAATACTTCTGCAATAACTTTGTGTACTATAAAAAACAGAGGCTGAACCGTCCAAAATAAACAGTTAAAGATAATATGCTATTCGTCTAGCCTCTTCTTAAATTTTTAAAGTTCTTTATTTTACGATATTTTCTTACTCTTATTATTATTAGTTATAAATATAAAAAAATAAAAAGTAATGATACAAATCCTTAGGACCGGTAGGAGTCGATAAATTTGGTGTAACTTCTATTGATTCACACACACTGTGCAACTTTTAATCAAAATCTGTTTTCTCCCGCTTCCTCTTAGAAAGCACAAATAAAACATATATGAAGTTTTGTACTAATTCCGATAGCTTTTTAAAAATCTTATAACTTAAGCACGAAAGCAACCCAACTAAGCTGGTATCGTTCAACCCATCGCCCCGTTAATATAAATTAACAATAATATTTAAAGTTATTAATAAAGTCTCTATCTCTCCTAAAAAAATTTCAATTAAAAAAGGCTTGTAGCTTTTAGAAAGGCGAATTTTTTATGGTATTTAGTTGTTAGTTTCTCTTCTTGCAAGTTAAATACGTTCAGCATGAATATAATTAAATTATACAGTCAAGTCAAAAATAAAAGGAGCCTGAAGACGTGTTTATACAGAAATTTTGAGCCATTTTCTCTTTTTTTTAATTTCACATAAAATCCTTTATAGTGTAAATTTTATATATAAATTCTTTTATCATTAATTATTATACCACAACTAATTTTATTTCCCCGTTTATAATTTTGAAATAATTTTCTATAAAATGAAGGCAGTAGAACCAATGTTTTTAAATTTTTTTAAAATTGCTTTCATTGAAAAAAATATATATTCGTTTTCTTTATTAAAATTATAAATTTTCTTAGTATAATTTTAAAAAAATTAGAACTTGTTTTTAATAACTCCTTCCAAAAAGAGTAAAACTTTTAGCAAGCTCGTCACAATTTATGCAGCGTTGGCCCTCGTCAAGGGCTTGAGGCTGGCGAAAGGGAGTGCAGAGAGATTTGGCGCCCATGGATGGATGGGTCGGGTGAGGTACCCTTTGAAAAAATGATAAAAAAAAGTTGTTAAAATAAAATAATAACAAAAATTAAAAGATTTTATTAGAAAAAAGCGGAGTTTATAACAATTTATATGAATTTTAATTTGTAATAAATAAAAAGTTTATATAATTGTAGTTATAACCATTAATAAATAAAAATAATACAAAAAAATAATGATTACTTAATATATATATATATATATATATCAATATAGTATATACATAATTGTTTAGTATATATAACAAAAGTTAAAGTAAAAAGTAAAAAGTTTCTGATAATTATATATATAATATATTAATATCAAATAATATTATTATAATATTCTAAAATATAAAAACAAGAAAATTAATAAAATATTAATTACTTTCTAGTGCTTTTAGTCTTAATATCTTCCTCACACGTGACTCTTTGGCACCACGGGACCAAGCAAAGATGTAAATTGTCCAATGCAGGAACAAAATCGTCCCATTTAAATAACAATTTGGTATTTATATCGAGAGTTTTCTTCGCCCTAATGAAGAATAATAAACACTACAAGTTTAAAAAGAATATTTTTACAAAAACTTAAAAGTAATGTTAAAAAATTTTCAATAAAGTGTAATAAAGTAGAGAATATATAATAAATAAAAATAGTTTGAAGAAAAATATATTAAAAACTGAATTGTTAATAAATAAATATAAATTTTTAAAAAAATTTATAAATAATAATTATTCTAAAATAAATAAAATTTACGAATTAATAAAAAAAAAGTTTTAAGTTTTCCAATAAGTAAACCAAACTTTATAAAACTTTTAATAAAAAACTTTTTTAACTGCTTGAGTTTCTTTAAAATTAATAATAAAAATTTATAAAACCGTAATTTAATTTTTTTATTATTAATAGTTAATAAAAAACTGTAAATAAATTCTTATAAGCAAAAAAAGTATAATAAAGTTCAATAAAGTTAATGTGCATATAATAATAATAATAAAGTTTGTTACTTTAATAACATTTCATTATGGATTTCTTTCAAAAGATTTGGAATGTCTTCAGAAAGTTTGGAAAGTTTAATTGTTCGTTTTTCGCCACTTTATTTATTTATTTATTTATTTATTTATTTATTATTATTAGTATTATTAGTACCTAAAACGTATGCACACTATTACAGAATTATCTTTCAAATCTCGAAAACCAACTTCAATACGCACTGGAATACCCTTTAATAATAGTAGTAGTAGGAAATATGTAAATATTAATAAATATATAAATAATAGAGAAACTCGAAGTTCCCAATGATAAAACTTTTTCCCGGCTGTCACGTGCTCATTGAGATCACAAAAAGCTCGAACTCCCACAGCTTAATTAATATATAGAACAAAAATAACATTGTTAATCAATATATATCCTTATTGTTAATAAAAAAATTTCTTAAAAAAAATGAAAAGTATAACAGAATAACCAACTTTCCAATCTCTTTTCCCTATAGTATATAACTTTTATATTTTTATTATATAAACTTCTTATTCCAAAAATAAATAAAAGAATAAGAGAGAAAGAAACAATAATTAAGATCACCATCAGAAGTAAATCTCGGTAGATGAAAAAAAGTAATCATAAAAAGCATAACACAATCATTAATATTTTTCTTCAGTTTTTCAATATTCCTTCAAAATTATTATTAATAATATAAATTTATTTATATTTCTATTAATGATCTCTATTTCATTATAAATATACATTACATATTTTTATGATTCCGGTATATTTAGCATATTATAATGAACGCTTAAAATTTCCTAAATATTAGAATTTGTATTTATTTCTCCTTAAAATTAATACAATCATTAAAAAGTACTTCTTAATAAATAATAATTATAAGTAAAAAAAAATAATTAGATAATAATAATAATATAAAAATAAATATACGAACCAATCAGAGACACAACAATGGAGCGGCAATGATTATAAAGAAACAACTTTTCGGTTTGTGTGTGCTTCTGGCTTAATCCGCAGGGAACTACCACCACTTGTTTTTCAGCAACAAAAGGAGGACATACAAATCCGGTATCATCGCTATGCGTCTATATAGTAATAATAAAATATTATAATTATAAGTAATAACAATAATAATAATATATAATAATAGAAATTATTATAAGTATAATATTTAATAATAAAAACATTTAAATGTAACAATAAGTAAAATAATTATAAATAAAAAATATAACTTTGAATAATAAACTTTTCATAATAAATTAATAGAGATCACATAAAAGCAAAAAATTAAATCAAAAGGGTAATAAATATAGTACTACAACAAAAAAACAAATAAGTAATTATAAAAAAAATAATAATTATAAAATTTTTAAAAAATTAATAAGTAAAAAAACTACAAATTATAATTTAATAATGTTATAAAAGAAATTATATAAAATTAAATATTATATAATAATAAAATAACATAAGTATAAAAATTATTATAATAATAAAAAAGATAATAGTAATGAATATAAAAGTTAATAATAAAATAAAAATAATAAAAAATAATAAAAATTAGTTTTTTTGATGGTAATAAATATGAAAAGTATATAAATGACAAGCAAAACAAAAGTTATATAACATTATAATAATAATAGAAAGTAGAAAAGTATATAAGCAATAATAATAAAAATAATAAGTATTTTCAATGATAGCCATGTTCATAATAAAGTAAAGTTCTTAAATATTCTCTAAAAATAAACAGCATTTTCTAATATTAGTTTCTACCATATAAATATTAAAAAATAAAAGTTAATATAATAATAATAGTAATTATAATAATACATACAATAATACTACTATTAAATATAAACATCCAACATAATAATAGTAATAATAACTAAATAATAACACCATTATCGTAATGCCAATAGAACGAGTAGTAAAGCCCCACGAATTTTGCCAGACAAACTGCTTTTGTCCATTTTGGTCAATGAAATGGACATCAAAAATTTTACTGAAGTTTTGGCCTGTTTTTTAACAACAACAATAAATCAAAAGGATTATAATGAAGAACCAAAAAAAGCTTAAAACCTAAACAGTGAGAGGTCGCGCCTTGAATGGCACGACCAACTCCAGCAATGTATCCCTCAAGCGTGGTAGTATAAAGTCCTTGATTGTTTATTTATTATTTGAATATTAATTTATTATTATAATTATTATTATCATACTACCGCCAGCAAACTTTTCTTTTTCACTTTTTCTTCCTGGAATCACAGGAATAGCCAAAAGTTCTTCATAACACTTCTGATAATATTCTTGTTTATTTGAAAAAGTTAAAGTAATAATAATAATAATAATAATAATAATAATAATAATAATAATAATAATAATAATAATAATAAAAAAGAAAAACCCAAAATTTGCAAAACTTCTTCATCTGCTTGTGCTTTGCATTCGAAAGCTGAATGGCCCTCCTGCCATAAAAATTCACGTGTTCTTAAAAAGGGAACTGCGCAATGTAATTAGTTATAATTAATAATAATAATAATAACAATAACTGGCATCCTTGAATTCCCAGCGAACAACGTTGCACCATTGGTTTAACTTTAATGGCAGATCACGATGACTTTGGATCCAGTCGGATATAGACGGATACATAACAGCTTTTATATATAAATATTATTGATAAAAAATAAAAAAATTAATAAAAAAAAAAAAGATAATAATAATTAGAAGTAAAGATTTAAATTTAATAGTGATTAATAAATTGACCATATGTAATTATGATAAAATAATATTACGAAACCTTCACTAGTAGGGCGGATCCCAACTGGTTCAGAAAACTCAGAATTACCACTTTAAAATGAGAGGCGTATAATTATTATGAAATATAATAATAATAATGCTTTTATGCAAAAAAAAGTCAACAATTATTAAAAAAGAAAACAATTAAATCAGAAAAAAATAAGAATTAAAGCTCCTTAAATAGAGAGAAAAAAAGCCCCAACAAATAATAATTTCTTAATTTCTTAATATAAAATATATTAAAAAAAAATTGCGTAAAAGAAAAAAAAAGTCAATGAGCATAATGAATAAATAAGTCAGAGGAAAAAATAATGATACCAAAAAAAAGAATTGAAAAAGGTTATGAATATAAATAAAGAAAATTGGCGCAATACTTTATATATTTCATGTTATTAAAAAAAAATTTCTTATATTTAGATTAATGAATAATTAAAAAAAACTCTAAGTACAACATAATAAAAATTAAGAATACTGTATTATTATAATAAAGAAAATATTAAAATTTTTAAGTAAATAAGCATAAAAGAAAGATAATAATTAATGATTAATATAAAACAAAATTTATAAGTGAAATATAATTATAACATTAATTTTTATAATTATAAAAAATATATATTCAAAATTAATCAAAATAAAATTAAATAAAATAAATAAGCATAAAAAAATAAATATAATTAAAAAAAATATATATTTTATTAATAAAATATATATTAAATAATAATAAACCATATAAAAATAAACGTTTTAAATATAAAACAATTCATGATTTTAATTATTTAATAAATATTTAATATTCAAAATTATTAAAATTTATTTTTTATAAAAGTAAACATTTATAAAAAATATATATTTTCTATTACTTTCACTATTATTAATATTTTATAAATTTTATTAAATTTTTAAAAAAAATAATTTATTAAATATTAATAAATCGTTTATTATTATTTTAAAAAATTTTGTAATAAAAAAAATAAAATATCACACGCATATTTAGTAAAGGTCAAAATAAATAATATTTTAATATACATAAACACTCAAAACATTTATCTAGTAACATAAAAAAATAATAACAATAAACTTTAATATTACAATAATAATAAGAAAAATAATTCAGCAGTACACTTTCAACTTTATGTTAATTTAATATAAAAATTATAACAATAAACTTTAATATAATAATTATTATAACAAAAAAAATAACATACACTCCCACACAAAATATTAATATATTAAAAAATAATATAATAATAAATATGAAGAAATTTTAAATAATTTAAGAATAAAAAAAAATTAAAAAAAAGTATAATAAGCATTAAAATATACAAATAAACTATTTTAAAAAATTTTTTATATAAAAATAAACATTACCATAATAAAAAAGTAAAATAACTAAAACTCATTTCTATAAATTATTAAAAAATAATTGTAAAGTAGATAACAAAACATAAATTTTTATAAATTTTTAAAACTTACAAAGCAGGTAAGTTTAAAAAAAATAAAATCATTATAGTAAATATAAACTTTAGAATAAATAAGTATAAAAAAACTAAAAGTAAATAAGAAAATAAAAAGGTAAAAGAAGGAAAAATAACTGAACTTTTAAAAGTATTAAAATTATAATAATATACATTTATGAATAAATTTTAAGAAATTTATGTAATAATAATAAACTTTTAAAAAATAAAAGTAATAAAAATATCAAACATGTACATTAAATAAAGTATAAACTTTAAAAAAAAATTATTAATTAATATAAATAAATAACTAAAATATAAAAAATAATAAAAACAAATTTTTTTATTAATACAAATTATTAAAGAAAAAGTATTATAATAATAATTAATGATAAAAATTATTTTACAAAACTTTTTAAAAATATTCACAAATTTTATAATAAAAGTAAAAATATGAATATGGAAACAAATAAAATTCGCGTAAAAAAGGAAAAAATGAAAATTATTTATATTCATTAAAAATAGTTTTAAAAATTTAATAATAACTTTTGAAAATAGTATTAAAAAAAATTTTATTTTAAATGGATAAAAAATAATGAAAATACGAAAGGAAATAAAATAATATGGTACCATTTGGTCACCCAGGCAACCTCGGGTGCAAAATCAGTGAAATTGGTAGCTTCTCTCTGAAGAGATTCATTTCTCACGAACATCGGAAAATAACAATTCTGAACGCCTAGATGTAATAAATATAATAATATTATAATAATAATAACAATAATAATAAAGATAATATTAAAAAATTAGGAGTAAAAGTATAAGATCCAAAAAAAGAAAAATTATAAATATAAATAATAAAGGAAAAAAAAAAATAAAAGAATAAAAAAAATCAGGAATAAAAAGGTATAAGCAAAAATTATATTAAAATAATTATAATATTACTATGAAAAAATACAAGAACAAAAGTACAAATAACAAAAAATGTAAAATATAATATATAAAAGTTATAAATATATATAAAGGAAAATATAAATAAAGGAATATAAATTAAACAAATATATAAATAAAAAATATAAATGGAAGAAAAAAGATATAAAAAAATAATTTTAAAATAAATTAAAAAAGATCAAGTATAATAAAAAAAGAAGTAAAATGTTCGTGTATTGATAAATTTTGTAAAATTTATAATATAAATGAATAAGAAATGAGACAGACATTTAAAAATATATACATAACTTATAAAAAGTAGAAAGAAATATAAAAATAATATATCATAAAAAAGATAAAATACAAATAAAATAATAAAGGATGAAATAAAAGTTTTCAATAATTAAATTATAATAATATTATAAATAATATTTTAAAAAATAAACAATAAATAATTAAAGAAACAAAAATGTATAAAACTATAAGTAGAAACATATAAATATAATAAAATATTCATAATAAAAATATTGAGAGAACAAAAGTATAATGAAAAAAAAAGAAAATAAAAAATTATAATAAATTTATATAAATAGTAAAAATAAAATAATGATAAATGGAATATAAAAATAAAAAAAGTATACATAAAATTATTATAAGTAGAAAAAATCAATAAAAATATAAATATGAAAAATATAAATAAAAATTTTATAAACAAAAAATATTTATAAAAAATTGTAAATAGTAATAAATATAATAGTAAATATAGATAACTATTAAATGGTGCTATAAGTAAATAAATATAAAAACTAATAAATTATTATTATTAACTATATAAAGTTTTAATATAAGTTTATAAATATTTAAAATTTTATTAAAAGTTATATAATATTATTATGATAATAATAAAATAAGCAAAGTTGAAAAATAAAAATATTAAATAAAAAAAATATAATAGATATTATTATACAAACAATTAAAAGTAAAAAGAAAACTAAAAAAAAATGATAAAAAGCATAAAATTAATAAAGATAACATACAGAAACCTTTTTTATAAGAAAATATATAAATAATAAATAAAAATAATATAATGAATTATAAATAAACTAGAGTAAATATATAAGAAAAATAATTACGAAAAAATAAAATAATGAAAAATAAATATATCTACAAGATAAAAATAATCGAAAGAAGGAAAAAAATATATAAATACTATAATTAAAAAATTATAAATAGATTATTAATAATAATAATGATAAGACTAACCGATTGACTTAAACTTATCGTCAAGAAATTTTGTGATCCTTTCCCAAATAGAAAAGGCGTTTGGACGCAAAACAAAGCAGCCAGTCACCGGATAAGAAGATATGAGATCAGCTTTTTTAATGACCTCCGAATACCAATCGCTGAAGTCTTATAATAATAGTAATAATAATGATAATAATAATAGTAATAATAATAACTTTCTTCTTTCTTAAAAGTTATGCCTGGCGATTCCTTTTTAGTAACTTTAATAAGTTCAGACTTTTTATTACTTTTGCTATCTTCCTTTGCATTTTTATATAATAAAGTTTCTTCACATAAGCGATGGTCTTTTTCGGTGAGCTTAAAAAGCAATAAGTAAATAAAATAAATTAAGAAAGTTTGCGTAAATAAAAAAAAACTTATAAACATATTTAAAATAAATAATAATAAACACATAATAAAAAGGTTAATAAAATAATAATAATTAAATTATTAAAAAAAACATTCATAAAGAGTATTAAAGTAATGACAAATAAAAAATTAAAAAACCTATTAAACTAAAAATAATAAATAAAATATTAAAAACTTAAAAAAAATACTAAAATAACAATAAGTAAATCAAAAATTTAATTTTTTTAATAATATAATAATAATTTATTAATAAACACATTTTAAATAATAACTAATAAAAATTAAAGATGATTATAATTATAATAATAAATAAAAAATTAAATAATTTATTGATATAATAATAATTAATAATAAAATAAAAAAATAAAAACCCATTAATAATAATGAATGAATGAAAAAATAAGGTTTATCAAAATAATAATAGGTAAATAAAAGTTATAATACCATTTAACTAGAATAATAATAAAAAATAAAGTTACTCAAAATAAAAATAATAATTAATTGAGTAATTTAAAAAGTATATATAATAATAATAACTAAATAAAACTTAAAAATTCTACGCATAAAATAGTAATAATAAATAAAACCTTAAAGTCTCTCTTAAAAAATTAATTCAAAAAATATATCAATAATGTTGATTAATAATAGAGTAAAGAAAACTAATTGTATAAAGTTGATCATAAAGAAATTATTATTACATTTATAAAGTATAGAATAATAATAAATAAATAAAAATAAAAAAGTCTACCAAAAAAAATTAAAAAAAAATAAAATAAACAGTATAACTTTTTTATAATCACTCTTCAAAGAAAGCAAAAGTTCTACTGCCTCCGTTACTGCTTCAGAACCAGAAGAATTCATAGTTTTTAAAACACGCACGTGATTACCTTATACGATTATAATAAAACCAATAGGCTTTTAAAAAAAAATTATAACTTTGCTCTTCGATTTTTTTAAGGAGATTCTGAACTTCCAAAGAGCCAACAGAATTTTCTATTTTTTTTTTTACAAAAAAAATTATTATAATGCACTACTTTTTTAGTTTTTTATTTAAACAAATTCAACCAAACATACTATTAAAGTTTTCTTTTTCGCTCTTTGTATTGGTTAGAGAAAAGTTTTTATCCCAGTTTAAGCCAGTCAACTTTTTATATAAGAAATAAATAAAGAATAATAAAATAATAAAAATAGTAATAATAATACTTCGTTAAACTTCGACTTCAACGAAAAAAGTAAAGAAAGAGCTTCTGAAAATGTTTCAGAATTATTACTTTCTTCTTTTAATCGACGAACAAAATAGCCTAAAAAATAATTATTAGTATAAATAGTAAGTAAAATAATGATTTTACCAATATTTTAAATATTGTATACAATAATAAAATAAAAATATAAAATATAAGTAAAAGATACAGAAAAATTAATATAAAAATATTTTTCAAAATATAAAATATAAGAAAAGAAACGATAATAAAAGTTTTATATATAAAAATATATGATATATATATTAGATAGAAAAGACAAGAAACTTTCTCAGAAAATAATTATAAAGTAAAAGTTTTTCGGTAGAATGAAAATAATATTATAAGATATGAAATATTTTAATTGTATTCATAAAAAGACTGATCTAACAAATTTTTTAATAATTCATTTATTACTATAATCAATAAAGCAAACTTTACAGAAAAAAGATTTCATATAATCATATACTAAAGAAAGTATACTTTCCTATAATTTTTTATGTTCCATAGGTCTTTTATTATTATTTTTCTTATATAAAATATTTTTTATTAACTTACTATTAATATTAATATAAGCAAAAGTTTTCAGTATAACAAAATGTTATATCCAATAACTATGGCAACTCGAAAGTATTTTTTTAATTATAATAAAAAACTTCATTAACTTTAGTATTTTAAAAATTTTGTTTAACGTAATAATATTTATTTACTGATAAATATTATAAGTACAAGAAAAAGCTATTTAATATTTTTTCTTTTCTCATATGTAATAGAATTTACTTATTGTGATATTTATTAATACAGTAAAGAGTTATATAAAATAATTTAAAAAATACAATAAAAGTATAATTTTTTTATTTATTATTATTTTTATAGCCGTTTTATTATTTATTATTAATAATACAAGTGTAAGTTTTTATAATAATATAATTTATTACATAAAATTATAGTTATAATATATTAAAATAGTAAAGTTTACTATTAAAAAAGTTTATATTTTTTGTTGTAAGTAATTTTCTTAATACGTAAAAATTATTTTTTATATTATTAATGCAAACAAATTACTATAAATATATAAGTTTACTTGAAATCATAAGTATCATTATTATAAAAAAAATATATTTTTTTTTAATAAGTAATAATCTTTTTTTTAATTATTATAGAAAAATTTAAACTTTTATTTTTTAATTGATTATATATATATATACTTAACGTAATATTTTTATTTAATTACTACTATAATACAAGCACAGTGATAGTTTACATATAATAATAATAGTAATAATAATCCAACCTTGTTTTAGTATTGACTGGTGCAAATCACGTGCTTCTCCCGAAAGAACGCTCAACGAGGCAATACCAGAAGTACTATTTTTGTTGTTTTTCTTTTTTTTCGGTGCTTCTTCGCGATGAGTAGCTAAAAAGGTTTATAAAAATAAAAAGAAATATTTTATAAGAATGAATTAAAAATAAAACTATAAAAATATAAAAAATTATAATTTTATTAATTATAATAAATAAAAAATAGTCTTAACTTTTGATATAATATAAATAATAAGTAAATAACATTTTAGTATAATAATTGTAACTGTTAATACATAAAAAATAAATTTTTTTTTTTGCTTTTAATAAATAATAAAATAATAAAATAAAATCAAAACTAAAAAAATATTAATATTAAGAAAAGAATTTATTTCTTTATTGTAACATAATAAGAAATAAAGTTTTTTTATATTAAAATAGTAGAAATAGTATTAGTAAAGTGAAATAAAACTATAATAAACTGTTTATTAATAAATAAAAGTTGCTAAACTATTAATATAATATAGATAATAATATTACAATCAATATTAATATAATAAATATAAATATAAATATAAATAAAAATAAAAGAATTTGCTTTTTATTTGAAGTATTAAGCAAAGCATAATAAATAAATAGCATTATGTAAAAAAAAATTTGTATACGAAGTAAAAATAATTAATTATATATATCATAGTATTATTATAATAATAAAAATACATAAAAAAATTAGTAAATTTAAAATTCATTATAAATAAAATAATTATAATAATTTATTATAAATAGATTATAAAAAAACATAAAACATAAATAGAGAAATGAAAATTCTATAAAATACAAAAAAATTAAAAATAATATAAATGAAAATTTAATAAATAAAATAATTATTATAATATAAAAATGAAAAATGACACAATTTAGAATAAATATTAAGAAAATTAAAAAAAGAAGAAGAAAAGGGAAAGTATTAAAAATATAATAGTAAAATAAAATTTTAATAATTATAAAAGTAAAAAAGATAATAAAGATATATAAAAATAAAAAAATATATTAAAAAGGTCAAAAGTACCGGCGGAGAGCGTCTTCGTGGAGAGCGAGGATACATGTGATTGGCGGCCATCAGGGATATTAAATAATACGATTCGTCCGTTTACGTCTTTAGAGTCAACGCTATAAAATAATATAATAATAATAAACGTAAAAAAGGTAATAAATATAAAAATAATAGATATTGAAACGCACAAGTATGATAAGGTATAATAGTATAGAAAGCAAAGAAAAATTATAATACAAAGGAAATAATAAAAAGTATTAAATAAAGAAAGAAATAATATAAATTAATATAATAAAAAGTGTTAAATAAGTTTTTAAAAAAATTAAATAACAAAATAATAAATAAAAAGAAAATATAAATCACAATCATATAAAAGTAATACAAAACGTATAGAAAAAATAAAATAAAATAATTATATAAATAATAATAAAAATTCAAGTTTTAATAGATATGACACTGGAAGTTCTTTTAAAATATTAACTCCAAAAAGTATATATATAAAAAATATATAAATAATAATAAAAAAATTATTATATAAATAAAAATAATATAAACTAATAATAATAAAATTTATATACATGAATAATAAGAAATAAACAAATACAGAATTCTAAGTATTTATGATAAATAAGAAATATAAAAACAGTTAATAAAAAATATTAGATAAATTAATAAATATTGAATTTTAAAAAATAATAATAAATTCTTATAGAAAATAAATTTAAAAAAAAAATAATATAATACAAATAATACATATAAAATAGTAATAAAAAAAATAAAAGAAATAATTAACAATAAATTTAAAAAAAAATAAGAATATATAAATAAATAATAAAACTAGAAAGCAAAAAAGAATAAATATTAAAAAATAAAATTTATTTACATAAATGAAAAAATAATTATAAGTACTTTATTAGATAAATAATTTCCTTCAAGAGTAAAACAATAACTATAATTTATATAAATATAGTAATGAAGATTATAAATATACAAAAATAATATATAAATTTAATAAAGTAAAACAATATATATATATAAATATAAAAAAGTCTCAAAAAATAAGTATTAAAATAGAAAGAAATAATAAAGATAAAAGATATATTTGATATATATAAAATATGAAAAATAAATATAAGTAAAACAATAAAAATATTAAAATAAATATAAAAATTAAGTATTAATATAAAAGTAAAACCACAAATAAATAAAATATAAAAATTATATAAAGTAAAACAAGTATAAGATTTATAAAAAAAATAACATAAAGAAAAAATATATATACTATAAAAATTTATAATAATAAATATAAACAAATAATTATATATATATGAAAAAATATAGATAAAAATAAAAAAGATAAAATAAATAAAGTTGATATCGATAATATAAAGTTAAAAATTTAAAAATAATAGTTAAGTTAAAATAATGAAGATCAAAATGTATGAAAGTATATATAAAATATATTAGAGATATTACAATAAAAGTAAAAAAATAAAGTAAAACAACGAACTACAAAATAATGAAAATAATATAAAAATAATTTATAAAAAATACACAAAGTAAAAAATAAAGTAAACCAATAAATATAAAAACTAATGGAATATAAAAAAAAGGTATTAATATATATATAACATAAAGTAAAACAATGAATATACAAATTATTGGAGTGTAAAAGGAATAAGATAATAATATATATATACAAATATAATATAAAGTAAAACAACATATATATAAACTAACAAAATATAAAAGAAAGTAGTTAAATTATATAAAAGAAATATAAATAACATAAAAAATATGAGGGAAAAAACCGGAAGTAACCACGACGAATAACTTGAATGAGGTCCCCAACTTGAACAGCCAATAAGGAAGGCTCAGCAAGCAGTTCCGTCTTCACGTATATTTTATAAAAAAGTATCATTTAGAGGAAAAGATTTATATATAATAATGTTATTAAGAAAAATATTGTATTAATAATTATATAAAGTATTCATAATGCTATTACTTACAATATAAACTATATAAAATGAAACAAATATATATTAATAATCATAAATTTCTATGATGTTTATTAAAAATATAAAATATAGATAAACATATTAACACAAAAAAATATTTATAGTTGTACAAAGTTTTCATATGTTACACTAGTATATATAGAAAAAACATTCTTTAAAAATAAAATAAACTTTATAATAATATAAAGTTGTAGTAATGCTATACCGACTATAAACATATTTAAAATATATATATATATATAATATTATTAAAAAAATTATTTATAAATATATATAGAAATATTAGTTTATATAATATTAAAAAAAAAAACAAGATTTATAATTATCTAAAGTTTTCATAATACTGTACTACTATAGTAAATATATAAATATAGAAAAAAAAATATTTTTGAAAAATATAAATTATAAGCTTAGTGTTGCTATCCTAAATATAAAGATAAATTTAAAAAAAAAATTACTTATTATAAAAATAATTAACGTAGCATTATATATAATTATAATTATCTCAAATTTTCAAAAAACTGTACTACTCTACTATAAATATAAATAAATATTATTAAAAATAAAAGTGTTTATTATAAAAACATCCACTTTATTTAAAATTAAATATATTAAAAATTGAAGAAACAGTGAATTTATACAATTAAGTTTTATTATTAGAATGTTACTAATAGAAATAATTATAGAAAAGATATAAAAATAACACAAATAGATTTTTTCTTATAAAATTTTCGGCGTAATATAAAGTATTATAACAAAAAAAATTAATTATATACAAGTTAACGCTAACAAAAAAATAAAAATGTATAGTTAACTACAAATACTAAAAACATTACAATGATATATAGAAAAAATAATTATTATAAGATATCACCTTGTAAAATTTATACACTAAAAAATAAAAAACTTCATATATATAATATATATAACAAATAATAAATAATAAATAAAATTATTATTAAGAAGATATATTATTAATAAAAGTTGATAATATAATAATAACCATAAATTAATAATAAAATTAATTTATATAAAGATATTGATAATAACATTTTTATATTTACTAATATCCCGCTTAAAAAAGTTGAGGTAGGTAATAATATAAAAAATTTTATAAGGACATAATAGAATTAATAATAATAACAATAATATTATAAAGTTTTACAATATATATTATTTATAAAACTTTTATATCATTAATATTTTATTAATAATATATGTACTATTAAAATAAAGGTAAATATAATATTATGACATTTATACACAAAAACATAACATAAGAATAATAATAATAATGATCACAACTAGTTATAATAAAATTTACCTCGAAACGTGTTTGTGGGTTTATTATATCTTCTATCCTATCGCTTTCTTCGACTTTTCTTTTTGTTATGAGATGATCAAACTCTACGCCAACCGCTTCAAAAAAATTAAAAAAAAAATTCATAAAAGTTAAAAAACAAGTAAACTAAAAAATAATGAATAAAAACATGTGACAGATAAGATTTGTCATAAAAACAAAAAAAAACTATTTTTGGGTCAACTTACAGATAAGAGCGCGCTTTAAAAATTAATAGTAACAGAATAAAACAAAGGAACAAAACCAAAATGTACCAATGAATAAGCCATATTCTTTAACACTAATTTTTACATAAAAAAGATGGGTTAAAATGAAACCGCAGGAAGCTTTGCTTATGACGTATATATAAACCTTTTTTAAAAACTTTTACTATTTACAAATTTTTATAAAATTTTAAAAATATAATACTTTAATTGATATTTCAATCAAACTTCTGTAAATATTATTATTAACAAATCAGAAATGTATAAAAACTTTAAAACCAGCAAAAAAGGTTTGCATATTTTTAAAACTTAACTTTTTTGAAACAATTTAAAGCAAATTAATTTGTTCCCAGTTAAAGTTATTTAGCTACCAATTGAACTAATACAGTCCTACTGAGCCAAAATAATAATCTACTTCGGGACAATCCAAAGTTTGTTAAAATTGTTGCGATAGTTACCAAATACAACAAACAGGGACAGTTTAAAGTCATTTTGCAACAAGTATATATATAAGAAATAATTAAGATCATAGAAAATCACTAAAGATATAAAAAGAAATAAGAAAAAAAAAATGAAAAAGAAATAAATTTATAATTTATAATATAATTTGATATATAATATTTAGTAAAAAATAGAAAAATAGTTATAAATAACAAAAACAAAATACTTTTCGCTTCGTAATAAAAAGTGTAGGGATATAAATAATATAGAAGAAATAAAATTCTTCATAAAATTGAATAAACGTAAAAAAAAAATTTTTTATAGTTAATATAAAATTATAAAAATACCGAGCACGTGGTCTAATGCGACCCAGTTTAACTTTTTGGTTTCTTTATAATCTTTATCTTCTAAAAGTAAAGCGGCCTCAATGCTTTTATTTTCTATGTCAATCTAATAATAATAGTTATAATATAATAATAAAAGATATAGTAAATAATAAAAACCCTATTAATAATAGCATTTCCCCAGTCCTTGAGAGTAACCTTTTCATTTTCCTTCAAAGTAACTGCATCGTCTCCTGAATTATTTAAATAATAATAATAATAGTTATAATAATAATAATAATAATAATAATAATAATAATAATAATAATAATAATAATAAACCTTCAATATATATAATGTGGGTTTTAACGAGTTCCTTTTTCCCCAAAGAAGCATTTTTTGGGTGCTTATCTATACAAATTTTAATAGGTTCCGCCGGCCCGTTAGAAAAGGTAACTTCGAAAGCTTTTTCCTATTATTATTATTAATGTTATTATTACTATTACTATTTTCGTATTACTACTATTATTATTATTATAAACCTTATCAACAGCCATATAGCGCGGAGCGATAGGGTCTATTACACTTTTATTAACAGCCCATATTTTGTCCCACTCCATTAAGTTATCCGATCTTGAAGCTCCTGATACGAAAAAATAATACAAAATAATAAAATATAAAAAAGTATAAATAATAAAGTTATGAAAAAGTTTTAAAGTAATAATAATAAAGCAGTTTCGACTAGTATTAAATATATATAAAAAAGCTAATAATAATATATAATTATTAATAATAGAGAAAAGTACATACTAAATAAAATATAATAAAAAAAGTTATAAAGTAAAAATAATGAAGATTTTCGAAAAAAAAATAACTAAAAAAATAATAATGAACAACATGAATATAATAATATAATATATAAACAATGAATAGTAAAAGCGAAGTATAAAAAAGTAAGTAAAAGTAAATAATAAACGATAAACCATATTAAAAAAACACAAGAGAAAAGTTACTCATTAAAAAAAATAGACCAATAAAAAAATTATAGAGTAAAAGTAATGAATCGGTCTCGGCTAGTATAATATGGATATAATAATAAAATATATTTTTTAATATATAACACAATGAATAATAAAAGAGAAATATAAAAAAACTAGAAGTAAATAAATAAGAAATATTAAAAAAAATTATTTTTTTTATATATATTACATTATTTAAACAAATATTATTATTTTATATTATGTTCTACGTTTACAATAAAAAACTTATATATTTATAAAATACCTTTGAATAATCATTATTATTTTTATACATAATTTATTAAATGTATGTCTTTTTTATATTAATTTATATATTAATTACATTACCTCTTCAATAGTATGCCAATAATAAAAAACTCCTATGCTAACATATCAATTACTATTTTTATTAATATATTTACTCTTTATTTATAAAACTTATATGAATATATCTCATTGATATTACTATTTTCTCATGAAATATTACTTTTAAATAAAAAAATATTATAATCTTTATATTTTATGCTTGTGATAATAATTAATATATTAATGTATTATCTTTCAATCAAATAACTTTACTATTTTCTACACTACTTATACTTATAAATAAAACTTATATAAAAATATATTATTATACATTTATTTTTATAAAATATTTATAATATTCTTATATAAAAGCAAAGTAGTTAACCATAAAAATATTTTATTTTACCGTAACTATATACACTGTCCCTTTTTTCTAATAATTATATATATAACTTTTTTATTCATTGCTTCTTATATTTTTTTATGATAAAAAAAACTATTTACATTTTACTATGTACTATTTCTGTACTTCTTTTTTATAAATAAATATAATAAATCATATTTCTAAAATGAACTTTTTAAAATATAATTTTGTTAAAAAAAATAAAATATTTATATAAAAACTTTTGAAAAAAAAACTAAATATTTATTTATATATAATAATTTTCTAGAAAATATAATAAAAAAATGATTTATTTATAAAAATTTATTCATAATAACAAAACTAAACTAACTATTTATATATAATAAAATTTTAAAAAAAACTATTTCAATAAAAATAACAACTTAATTATTATAAAAACTATTTTAATTATAAAGAATAATCAATGTCCACTTATATCTTATAAAACTTTTCGAATATAAATAATAATATATAAACTCTTCATTAATAAAAATAATAAACTGAGTATATATATAAATTTTTGTCCTTATAAAAATAGTAAGCCGGATACACATTACTCTTTCTATGAAACCTTGCTGGCCAATGAAAGCCTTCAGACCCTCGACGGTCAGTCCTCTGCGTAGAATACCTTTCACAGTAGGAAAGCGAGGATCGTCCCAGCCGTCTACGTGCTTGTTCTCGACAAACCACGTTAACTTCCTCTTGGACATGACCGTATACATCATGTTCAAGCGGCTAATTGGTTAAAATAGTTTCATTATTATTATGATTATGGTTAATAACATCATTATACTGATATAGAGGTTAAATCATATATTTATTGTAAGTGTTATACTTAAAAAGTTTGAGGATTATTAATAGTAAGTATATATTAGTATGTGAAAAAATTTGTTATTTTTATTATAATGAGAAAATGTGAATAAAGCTGTAGTAATTTACATATATAAATATTAGTTTTAATTACTAATATGCGGAAATATTAATTATTATTTTAATCAAATAATATTAAAAATGATGCTATAATAATTACTAGTAATGCAATTATTATAATTATTATATAAAATATTTTAATAACGTTATTTAGTATTACAAATAAAAACATATAACAATAGTATAAATAATAATATAAAATAAATTATATTAATTGTTTATACAATAAAAGTAATAATTATTTATTTTTATGATATATAATTTTTCTTATTATTATTATGCCTATAATCATGAATGACTGGAACGCGAAGGTTGAGAGCTCTGCAAAACCACTCGAACTGAGGTTTTCTATCACGATACTCATTGGTCCGAAGCACATGAGTGACTCCTTTGTAATAAAACATAATAATATTTAATGATTGCAAAAAAAATGATAAACTTCAAAAATATATCGGAAAAAAGATAATAATATATAAATATAATTATAAATAATTAAAATATAATTCATATCAAGTAGAATAAAAGCATTAGATACGAAAGGTTGAGCAAAATAAATGAAAACAATAATTATATTATTAATATAACTCTACACTAAATCATAGCCTACATAAAGCTTTTCAATAATGACAAAAAATAATAACAAAAGTACTGAAAATAAATATAAATTTTTTTATAAAAATAAATAATGAATTAATCAATATATATTATAGATATAATTGTTTATAATTATAAAAATTATGAATGTTTAATAAATACTTACAAAAATTCAAAGTCAATATAGTAATAAAGTAATAAATAATAATAACACAACTTGCTGTACAAAAAAAAATTTAAAAAAAAAAATGAAAACATAAATAATTATAAAAAAATAGTAAAAAATATATTTTTTTTCATTTTATTTATAAAAAAAAGTTTAAGAAAATAACCGATTAAAAATGGAAAGGATATCTGTAAAGTATAATAATAATAAACAATACAACCTTCCAAGCTATCAACTACGGGACACGCAAAGTCATAAGTAGGATAAACATTATATTTATTTCTATTTAAAAAGATGAAAGTAATGAAATCTTTAACAAATAAAAATAATAAACTTTTATAATAATAAATATAACCAATAATTTATAAACACTATACAGCTTAAAAATAGATATTTTTTTATTGTAAATTGAGTAGTAAATAAAAATAATGAAAAATACTTCCCTTCAGTACAAAATTTAATAATTCAATATATATAAAGATTTAGTAGTGTAGCAAATAAACTATTAGTGTGACAATTTAAACAGTTTCTGCACCTTACAAAATTATTATAGCAAAAAATTAAGAGAACAATTTACTGGTCTTCTTTGATTAAATTGGTAAATTTAAAAAAAAGGCAGCAAATTAGCATGCACTAACCAAACGAATAAAAAGGATCGATATAATTAATAACTCAGTTAAAATGGTGAAATAACATTGTATCTAATAATAGAAAAAGCGCCAAAAAAAACAATAAAACTCTATAAGTAATTTGGTTGAACATAATTAAAATTTTGTTCAAATTTAATAGTATAAGACACAACCCAAACAAATTTGAAATGGTCCAAAAGCCGTACAAAGCACACTTAATTGGTCACAAAGTGATAACTTTTTAATTGCAAATATTAACTATAATTTATATATTTATTATTCTTATTACTATTATTATTATTATTATTATTATTATTATTATTATTATTATTATTATTATTATTATTATTATTATTATTATTATTATTATTATTATCAAGGAAAACCATATAAAGTTAAAAAACGAGAACCCAACATGGAACACTAAATATCGCTTAAAATTACAAGCACTTGCCTGGTTGATTACAAGCCGCACAAAAGAGCCTTGACAATTAAATTTTACGAAAAACTCAAAAAAGTTAACATTGATTGGTTAAAAATTCATATATTTACATAATTAAAAATGAAAAGCCCACCAAATATAGCAACAAAGAACAATATTTTAATGAACTATAAAATACATTATTACTAGAATAGTAACAATTTAATATAATAATACTTTAATAATTATTGTATATTATTAATTAAAATAATATATATAATTGTATTAATACATACAAAGTTCTTATATGAGGAGTCGAATTACAGCGGTAAATAACAGGATCCCTTAAGCATTTATTATTGTTTTGCATATCAATTTTAGCTCGTAAGCAGCACTCAAATCCCTCAATGACAATAATATAAATAATATTAATAATAATAAATAAAAATATGAAAACTTTTTCAGTTCCACTAATCATCTCTTCCCAAAGAAAAATATTCTGCTCAACAGAATTTTCCCGATTCACAGAAGCAATTCCTGTTATTATTATTATTATTCTATATAATAATACTAATTATTAGTATATAGGAGTATTATAAAATCTTATTATTATTTCCATTCGTTCTTTCTTCTCGCATTTTCTCCACTGGAGTATCGTCCACATAAGCTTTTCCCGCTCTTATTAATTCACTTGCAAGTTCCAGCAGTTTATCAAAGTAATCTAATAAAAATAAAAATAAAAAGGTAAAAATAATTAAAATAATATTGACGGTATAAATATAACAAAAATAGCCAACCAGAAGTGTAAGAGAGTTTATCATACTTCACGCCAAGAACTTGTAAATCGTTAATAATACTTTCCTCAAAGTGACACTACAATAATAGTAATATTCAATATATAAATACAAAAAAAATTTAATTGTTAAAAATAATTTATAAATAGTAAGTGATACTTTTGAATAATAATAATAATAAGACCTCTTCAACTTTTCTCACAATGGAGCGTTAATCATTATAATAATAAAAAATAATAAAATATCAAAATATAAAGAATTTTTAAAATAACAGCAATAATAGTATATTGTAATTGCTAACAATAATATTTGTAATAATAATTAATTAATATATATTAAACTTTTTCAAAAAAAACAACTTTCCTCAAAGTGGCATTACAATAATAATAATTAACAAAAATATATAAAGAGATAAAACTTTTCAATAATATTGCTAATGATAGTTTATAAATACTGTGATGTGATATTAATAATAAATATGATTTAATTATAATAATTATAATATTAAGTTATACTTTTATTAAATGTTTTTATAAAAATAATATTATGATAAATATATATTGCACCTTTTATAAAAATAAATAATAATACTAAAAAAATTACTTTTAAAAAGAAAAAATACTACTAATAATAAATAAATATAAAACTTTTTTTCAAAGTTTCACATTAAACAATATTTATATAAATATAAATAAATATTAAAACTTAATAGTAATGATACAAATAAATTATACTTATAAACACAATATTCTTAAAAAAATTATAAACTTTTTTTTAATATAGCAATAATAACAATAAAACCTTTTCTTTTTCAGGATTAGTATCATCGAATCTTAAGATGAGCGTCCCTTTGTACTGTTGAGCGTATGTGTAATTCAAAATGGCCGCTTTTGCATGACCTCAATAAAAGATAGAGCAAAGTAAAAATTTGTTTATTATCTTGTAGAATAATATAATGAAGTAAAATTATATAGTATAAATTATAATAATATAAAGTAAAGAAAAATAACCAAAAATTTTAAATAAATTTTATAGTAAAATAATAAATATTCAAAAAACTAATAAAAAAAAAACTTTTATATAAGATAAATATAAAAATATTATATAAATGTCAAACTTTTATGATTTACTAGTAGTTTTTAAATAAATAAACATAATAATAACTGATAGTAAAAATAAAACTATAAAACAAAAAAACTTTAAAATATAAAAACTTTAATAAATATAAATATATAAACGAAAAGAGCCCACCAATATGTAGATAGCCCGAAGCTTCTGGAGGGAAACGAACAACCACATGCCCAATAATAGCATTTGGAAGTTCGTTGTAAGTAATATTTTTTGTCTGATTACTTTTATTATTATCAGTAGGAATTTTTGTGCGAGTAGCTGTTCGTGTAAAAACTAAACATATATAAAAAGCATCATAAAATAATATTGTTATTTAAATAAAAAAAAAGAAGCAATATTAATAATAAAAACCTTTTTCACAAGCTTTACCAATTTCTGGGATGCTTAACAATTTCGTGAACCATTTATAAGTCGCTGGCAATTCTTTCTCCACGCCTTACAATGAAGTAAAAATCAATATTTAAATATTTAAAAAAAAATTTTTTGAACATAATTACCGCCTTTTTTTAAGAAATTATTCCAAATGGGGCAACTTTTGAGTGCTGAAAAAGAAAAAAGATCAGCTAAATGAATCTCATCAGCCAAAAGAAAATCTGTTAAAAATACATAAAAAAGATTTAATAGAAAATAAAATAAAAATGTAACCTTTAGAATTTTCTTTTAAAGCTGATTCAATAGTCTTTGCGAAATTGATGAGATCTTTAAAAGATGACTTAGAATTAAGGTTTTCAGTCTTATTATACCTACAAAACGAGCGCATATAATAATAAAGTATGAAAATATAAAATATAATACTTTATAAAAACTAAGTTATAAATAATTTACCATAATTTATTTTCTTTTTCGTATTGGAAATTATCTAGTAAGTATGAGGAAATAGAAAATAGGCCAGAAATTTCGTTCCTTTTTTTAAAAACTAGAAATAAAATTTAACGTTATAATACTAGGCCTTAAACTGTACCCGTTTACTAATAAAGTTGGCGTGGATGCAGAGCTGCTCCATTCTATCGTAAGGGCCTTTTTAGAAAGCTCAGAAGCAGCAATAACCGCTTTTTTTTTTTTTATATATACTAATTATTTAGAGAATTTGTGATAACTTAACAGAAGTCTTACAAAGTATTGGAGAGTTGTGTGGTGCTGTCAGGATCATAGACAAATGAAGGTTACGCTTACACTTAAAACTATTAAATGCTGTTAACCAAAGTAAAAAAGATTAATTTTAAAAAAAAAGAGAGTTAATGCTCTACATTGGAGTAAACAATTCTTGTGCCTTACTATAATAAAGTATTAACGTTAACCTAATATATTATAAAAGTACACTAAAAACTGACTTTTTAAAAAGAGAAACAAGTAAAACCAAACTTCAAGGACGCCTTATTTTAAAAGGTTTAAAGAGTTGATTTTTACAACTTACTAAGTTCACTTTTCGTTAGTTCGTGGTGTCCACATGGCCTAATTCTTAACAAAACAACCTCTTTTTAATGTTTAACAAGCCAGTCATAACAAAGTTGTACAATAGTATAAATAAAGTGAGTCAAGGATACCTATACATTATAAGACATTAAACGACATTTCTTATTTTTAAAACCTTTTAATCTTATAGTGTAGATTAAAAAAAATCATTATTAACTTCGCGCCCTCACGAACCTGAAAGAGAAGCCCTGGCAGACTAAGAAGGGGCACCCCAAACTTAATATTGAGCTAGATAAACATAGCTTACTATTACTTAAAAGAAAGAAAAAGAACTCTGGCAGGAAATAGTGACAGAAAAAAAACTAACGTTTTCAACACACGAGCGTATTCTAAGCCAAACTTTTAATTAAAAAGTTCAGGTAATATGGTGTTCCTAGAAATTCAAGGATTATTAAAAATAGATCTCCTTTATTTAATATAAAGATATAATAATTTTACTCCTCTCAAAAAGAAATTAAAGCACGTATCCGTCCGGTGTATTCTTTTAAAGAAGTATCGCCAAAAATTGTAGAAAGGTTTCTATGTTACTGGGTGTGCAGTTAGAATGTGTATTGGTATCGTTATAAACTCCCGATACCAGATAAAGGCACGTGCACATCTAAATTAATTATAAGCCCTTTTTAAGGGTCAAGGACAGTCTTCTTGGTTTGGTCCCCGAGGTGAGCATGTAAACCGCCGCACCGCCTTCAATTAAGCTTCTTATTTTATTCCTTATTAATCACGAGGGTATAATTTGTACCACTGGTGAGGGTATAAACAACGAAGGAAAAAGTCTCAAACATGTGCCCCCCGGCAAGTGGTTAACTTGCGCGTTTATACAAATTTAAAAACAGCTAGCAAGCTTTTATTGCATAAACCATACGTAAAATACTAAATGTACTATTTCTATTTAAGTCCACTGCAAGATTACCATAGTAGTTTTAATTAAGTGGTACCATTAAAGCACCGATGTACTATTGGTTAGCGCCACAGGATGGGTCACTATGGACGCTGACGTTTTATTAAAATAAATTGTGAGGTTAGTTGACGAGAGAAAAAGAGGAGCAATAAAAGTTTATTTATTTAATTACAAATGACAGTTCCTGCTCTATCGAGTAAAAAAACTTCGAATATTCGAGCTCTTAATTAGGAATGATAGCTGATATAATACAAATTTTCACACAAACTACGAATTCGATGTCAAAACACGCAACACTTTGTTTTGTGGCCCTTGAAATGCCGACGCTATTGCAGTGGAGCCATAGACCCATGCAGCAGACGTTTATGACATGATTAGCTAAATAGAAGACAAGTATAATTGCCGTTTCTTTCGCAAAGAAAGCTTATACTTGCCGCGAAGTAAAGGATAAAGCGCCTTGGTGACTGCCTTGACCTTCGCCACTACATAGTGCACGTTAGGCTACCAAAAAAAATTTGTGTTGACTCCCAATTATTTCGTCTTAGAAACCCCGGAATCTTCACACCATTTAAAGGTTGAGGGCATCAACAAAGGGACGCGTTTCTTTGAAATTAATGTAGCTTTGCTCTTCATCGCATTTATAGTAACCTTCCAATCACGGCACCAGACAGCCAAGGGTGTCAAGATAGCGCTGTAGATGCTTGCATAGCAAAGCAGAAGACTTCGAAGAAAAATATACGGTTGTATAATTAGCGTGGAGGGAAATTCGTGTATGGGGGTCGGACGGCATGAGCACATTCGCTCATGTAACTGGCAAATAAAAAAGGGGTCAAAGAAGTGATCCCTGGAGGGCTCCCTGCTGCCAGAGATCGGAGTGGCGACCGTGTATCTCCCACGCGCACGCTGAAGACGCAACCATTCAGATATTTCAGCATGTTATAAAAACCATAGGACGGATAACCAGCGCAGCCTGTGCAGCAGACCTTCATGCTAAACTTAATCAAGCGCCCTTTCAACGTCAAGGAAGATAGCGCCTGTTGTCTTCTTACGCTTAAAAGCTTGAGTGGTTGGCCCATTCAGTTAAGCGGGGAAGCTGCTGGACCGTTGAGTGTTCTTGCCGTAATTTAAACTGAAACTCTTGTAAAGCTTTTCGAACGTGCACGACCTCTTTTAGACGGCGCAGTAAAACGCCTCACCCACTTTGCTGGTCGCTGCCAATAGACTGATGGGTCGGAACTTGCTAGATGGTGGTTCCGGTTTGAGTGTTTTTTGGTAGCGTAGCAGCGATCGCCGTCTTTCTTCGAATCGGAAAGGCGCCAAGGAGCTTGGAGCATCGAAGATTCTACTAGGCGAAGATTCTACTAGTCGGTACAGAGACTGCCCCCCTGCTGATATGGCATATTCTTCAGCATCTCGTTAGCGATGCCATCGAAGTGATCAGGCGCGCGCTTTTACTTTGGGTAACGCTTCGACAGTGGTTTGCAGCTCGCTAACGTTAAACTAGCATCAGAGGTTTGTAGACCTCAATAAGGGGTAAGCTTAGCTGAGGGAGCCAACATTGGAAGTTAAGTGAGCAGCTGGCACACTTTGGGGAAGCAAGGAGATGAGCTAGAAGAGTAGCTTTTGTCTCCATCACACTCGGCCATTGTATTTCCTTCATGAAGGGGGGGGTAGTGGGGCAAGTCCCCGATTTTTGATCCTTTTAACAAATTTCCAAAAGTAGGAGCGGTTGTTGCTGCCTGCTTTCGGATATATAGTGCGGCTTGGCCTCCCGTTTATTGTTAAAATGGGCCCTTAGCTTTTTTTTAATGTACCTGTGCAGTCGATTAAGCACAAGCTTGTCTCTGCGTCAACAGGGCCGCTCGGATAAGACGGTTGGCAGATGTGTACCTTTAGTTTTGCACAAGTTGCCGGCGCAGTAGTGTGAGCCATGTTCAGTGCGGTTTCGAAAAGAGCAACAGCATCATCCTGTAGGCGGGCGTAAACGGTAATGACGGACACGGTGGCAGCGTGATTTCTAGTACATCAGCATATTTTTCCAAATCGGTAAAAATACGGATAATGGCCCTTGGTGTGCCCTTCTCATCCTCTAAATCGAGAATAACTGGGAGGTGATCGGAGAACAGCTCGTGGAGCACTTCAATTGCCGTAGAGAGACGTATATCTTTAATTATGGCAATATCCCAGAACTTCCAGTGCGCCTGTAGTCGCCAAGAGTGTTGGTTGCTGGGGATACAGCCCGTACTCAACAGCTTAGGCCTCAAGGATGTGACCATTCGTGTTATCGGCTCGACTGTTCCATGTAGGGTGCTTGTAATATAAGATACCCCCGCAAAACATAAAAAGAGGCACTCCCAAGGATGGTTTCCAAATCGGATGGCGGAAGTAGCTTCCAAGGGGGTTTGTAAACAGCGATTACAAACACGGGTCCCTTGTCCGATAGGGAAATCCCCACTGCCTCGCCGTGTTGTAAAGCCGGCATAGATATCGAGTGATGTCGAATACCCCGTTTCCCCGAGATAGCCACGCCCCTACCGCTTGCATCAATTCTATCTTGGCGATCGTAACAAAGTTGCACAAATTAAATGCGACGTTAGAAAGGAGGTGCGTCTAGTTGACGGTGCACACATCAATCCATTCTCGTTGTAACAGCTCCTGAAGCTCGTGCTTCTTACTCTGAATGCCATTTGCATTCCAGAATAGCAGTCGAATGTGGCCGGGCGTGATACTTGCTAAAGGGCGGCTGTCATCATGATCTGTAATAGATTTGCCGAGGTCGAGTAGTAAATACGATTATCACCCATTAGGTATTTATAACCCTAACCTTAACCCTTAACTATGAATTTTGTTTCAAGTACATAAGCAGAACTCCCCATTAATCTTCTGTAACCTCTAATGTAACTTATGCTCTCAAGCAAAGACAAATATGCCACCACGGCAATCAACAATATGCAGCTTAGATTTCAAAGACGGATTAGAAGACCATGCTCGAGGTAGTAAGGAGCGAATGAAATGGTTTCTAGACCGCATATCCATCACTACCTCAGATTGTTTGGACAAAAAAAAAGTCTAAAACCACAAGCATGATCTGCAGCATGCAAGAATGCTGTTGGTCTATTTAGAGAAGCACACATTCTTGTCACAATTGATTCTTGCATATCTATGAGACTTTAGTTATGAACAATTTTATATTATCAGCGAGGACATAGCTATTTTAGAGTAACGAAGCCTTCGACACCAATCAACATCTTTTTTAGCTCTTCAAAATATTAAGGTATTTCCTCTTCTTGGCCTGTAAGGAGTTATTTTGTCTCTCGGTAACTGGAGCTTATAAGCCCCTTAGCAAGCCGACTTCAACTCCCTTCTTGTGTGCAGCTTTCCTGTTGTTTTGTGCGGAGTTATAAACTGCAAGCAGCCCTGCATTAAACTACCAGTTTTTTAAAGTCTAAGTCAGTCAACTCCGAGAGTGCGTTAGGCGAATCCAATGCACAAGGCGAAAAATAACAGCACCATCTTAAGCCCATCAGACATGTCGTTTAAATGGAAAGAAAACATTAAGGGCATAATTTTTCCTTTAAGGGCGGGTCTTCCTTAATAAGACATTCCATATCTTGCACTACTGTCAACAGCATCCCATTCCTGGGCACCGCCGTTAAGACTATGCTATCCCGAACGTCGTGACTACTAAGATGAGACAATCACGTTGGCAGAGTAAGCTTTCCCAGTGGGTCAGCAGAGCGGTGGAAATGGTACTCAACTTTGCATGTCATCGTACCGAAGGAAATGAGCCAAAAGTAAACTGGCGCCAAACCGAATGATTTGGTTCGTTATGAAGCTGTTAGCACACACAAGCACGGGTGAAAACCAGCCTAAATGCATTGGAAGCAAGCGACGATGGCGGTGCCTCTTTCCAGCAATTTGGCTAGTTGCTAAATGTAGCAGGTATCTGCCTTTAACTCTCCTGCTCGACGGCGATATTGTGACCAAAAGCGACGATATTATGGTGACTCCAAGCAGCTCGTTTCCAATGCCATTAGAAGGGCTAACCCTACACGCTGGTCGCCCTTTATACATGACTGTGCCAGCATCCGCAGGGTTATCTTGTCGCAGTTACCAACTGTACAACCAACCTAGCAAAGAAGCGAAATGCAGCAAAACCATTGGTTCCACCAGAAGATATATGTGGTAATTATTATTGATAAACAATCATGGAGTCCGCGCATATGGACTACGTAATGGCCTCTGGAGCGTTGCACCTTCAACTTACTAATATGCGACAAGCGACTACAGTACGTGTTGTGTCCCATAGTGACCTTCCTTACTTCAATTGCAACAAAGAAAACTGCTGCGCATCATGACGGGCTCGCCGTGGTTTGTGTAAAACGATATTCTAAGACCTCCAATTTGTACTGATAAAATGCATTCTTTATATGCGAATAGCTAATTGGGCACAACAACCACTTTTAGGCAATTGAGCTTACAAAGCAGTCATGAGAGATAATCTTAACGCCAACCGCGAGACGCGCTTTAAGCAAATTTTATTGTTATTATTTATGATAGACTTTGAAGTCGTTAAAATGTGACTACAACTGATCGAGATCTCGACTGTTTTGACTCGATTCGAACACCAGTCACAGTCGTTTATATATAATTTAAGGCTTTTTCAAAGTTATAATAGAAAGGGTGGGGGATGCGCGCTCTCCCCTAAGACCACTAACAGCCGGAGTTCCACAAGGATCTCTTTTATCACCCTTACTCTTTGCATTTTATCTACGTGACGTGCATCAGCCTGACGACCCTCACACGCGGATTGACTTATATGCGGATGATAAGGCGGTTAACTCCTTGTCAAAGTCACCTGCTCTAATGCATCAGCATTTCCAGTACTATCCAGTAGCGCTTGCCGACTGGGGGCGACGTTGCAAAATTACTATTAATGTAGAAAAGAGGAAAACTCTTTTTATCACAAAGAAGTGCGCTACACCACTACCGCCGTTGACCTTGAGCAATAAGGTAACTCTTTGTTGTCCTCAGGTGAAGTACCTGGGGGCCATTAGCAACAATAAGCTCTCGTGGTGGCCGCACGTAAACTATATCGCGGTGAAGCTCAAGGTGGGGGCGGGTTCAAACTCTACCCTTTACTTTGCGCTCAAAGCAAACTCTCGCTGCACAATAAACGACGCTTGTATTTGTTGTGCATCTGACCAATCATGACATACTAGTTCACTGCCTGGGCCTACAACTCATCTCTTCGCTTCAAGTGAGACAAAACAAGCTACTACGCCTTATGACGGACGCGCCGTGGTTTGTTCGTAATGATGCCTTACATAAAAACCTCCAGATTGAACCCGTGAATAACGCAATGCTATCGTCACCTACATTCGGCTCAGTCAGCACTCCAATCGATTACTGACAGATAAGGTCAACTAAGAAATCTGGGTCGGCGCACGCTACAGCTGACCGCGCAATAGATTCTAAATATAAAAATATGGGTAAGAGGTAGAATTATATATATGAAGTTGCTTTAAACAAACTTATAGCTAACGTTGTTTCCAAAAAAAAATTTCTTACATAGAAACTTAAAATTATTTTCAATAGTTTTAAGCAATAAAATACATAAGTTATTTATTTTAAATATAATACTATTGAGTGTATAATAGAGTAATTTCTAAATTTCCTAATAAAGTATAAATGAATGTATAACGAAGGACTATATATATATATACTTTTATTTTGTATAAATATTTAGAAAAAACAAAAAGCAACACTACTACTCGTCTTCTAAAGTTTCCAGTAATTTTTTCTTCAAAGCTTTTAAAAATGCTCTTATTGACGTATTCTCAGCGAACGTACGGGACTCATAAAGGTGAACCAACTGGATTGCAGCCTAAAAGTATTGTAATATTATATAATATAATATCTATAATTACCATTAATATAGAAAACAATAATAATAAATTGTTTTTATGACGTATAAAAGGTTTTTACAACTTTAGTAAATTTAGAGTAAAATATTAATATACTTTTCGGCGATGATTATAAATAAATTTTTTAATAAAATATTATTACTAACATTTTATTTAAAAAGGCCGATTATTTTTAAAAAAGCGCGGCCAGTAAAAAATCTAAGTTCATTGTTTCTTTTTTTTGTTAAAAGAAATTTTCATTTTGCTTATAAATTTTTTCATTCATTATTGCTGAATCGCATTATATTTTAGTTATAAATTTATAGGTTCGGTATTAAAAAGAAATTTACGTTAGAAAACAATTATTTTACCGCTTCAGAGTTACAACACTTGATTATATTTTACTTTTTACACAACTTTAATAAGTTGTACTAGAAAACTCAAGTTAAAGACAAAATTATTGTTTTCATTTATAACTTTGTGGGTTGGCGGTTACAAAGCTAGATATATATAATAAGTTATTATTTAGTGTATTCTATAAGAGTTTCTTGCTTTCCTTATATATTAAAGTCCAACGGAAAATAATTTTATTTAAAATTTGGATTAAAATTTTATTTATAACGAATGAAATAAAAGAATTTTAATTTAAAAATTGTTGGAACGTTAAAACTTTTTACTATAATTATAATTATTATGAGAAGGTTCTGTAACAAATTAATATTAAGAAAAATTAATATAATATACTTATTAAAACTAACTATTTTCGCAGGAAATTGCTTTAAATATAAACTATTCAATATTCATTATAAATTATTTACCTGTATATAGAAACTTGTAGAAAAAACAATTTTATATTTTCCGCACAAAAAATTTTTATTTTTTAAAAAACTTATTAAAGTTAAAATTTATTTAATATTTTATGCAGTTTATTAAAAGGTAAATAGAATGGTATTCATTTATATTAAAGAGATATGAATAAAAGTGGTATTAAAATAGGAAAATATATGGTACCTCCCATTCGACTGTTTTTTGCAGCTGAAGTTTCTATTGGTTAAAAAAGGTTTAAAAATTATATTAAAAGTAAAAAAAAATAAATTTAATGTAGTTAAGATTTATATTGTTGCAGTAAAAAAGAGATATAAGAATCATATTATTCATGCCTTCATTATATAATTTACAAAAAGTTCCCTATAAAAGTTATTATTATTGTTGTATTAATTACTAAAGTTACTAATGTTATAATAATTTTAGGTTTTAGTATGGCTTCAAAAATTATTTTAATAATTATATTAATTTTAATAATTTACTAATTGCTTTACAGAGCCTCTTGCCGATAAATGTTTTTAGGTATTTAAAATAATAATTTAAAAATTTACAATAAATTTTTTTATATAAAAAGTTTTAAGTAAGAGTATTTTAGTTATTTAAGATATGGTTATAATACTAATTTCCAAATTTATTAGTTAATAAACATATTTTTAATTAAAAATGTTATAATATCGTTAATTTCTTATTATTTATTAATTTAGAGGGAAAAAAATAGTATATATTAATATAGTTTTTCTTGGCTTCACTAATTATAACACTTATTATTAGTGTATATGTTGTAATATTATATATTTCTGTACATAAAGTGTAGAGCAGCGTTGCCTTAGTATTATAAATATATTTTACTATAAAGTTAATCGTTACTAATAATAAATATCAAACCTAATCAATTTTATATAGTAATGGGTTCTTGTTATTTTAATAATAAGATTAGGTAAACTATTATAGTAATAAAGTTAACAATTTTTTAAATATAAAAAGTTTTTGGTAATATTATTATTACGATCAAGATATTCATTTATTTGTTTTTCTTATATATTTATCATTATTAAAAAATATATATTTTTTAATATATTGATAAATGCTTATTAATAAGATATTGTTATTAAACTATCATAACAGTATAATTTTATTATAATTTCAAAAAAAAAAGCTTATTTAAATATAGATAATGTTTATGATGTTATAAGAAAAATTAATTTATTATAATTACAGAGATAACTTTAAGCATTATTACGTTGCTTCTGTCATATAATACTCATATATATTAATAATATAAAGTTTATAAAAATTTAAAACATGTTTACTTAACTGCTTTTTATAGTATTAATATATAATTGCTCTTTAAATTTGAGTAAATTAATTAATTTTAAAATAATCGGGATGATTATTGAAAAGACGACAATAAAAATTATTATTCTCAAAGTTATTATTGTTAAAAATTATTAATTAAGATTTTATAAGTTTATTATTATTATTGTTAATGTTTATAACTTTATTCTCATAATTTTCTTTATAATTTGCGTTTCTCATATGCTCAGCTAAACACTGCGCTCGTTGGAGAAGTTTTTCAGGAAAACCAGAAATTCTCGCTAATTCAATGCCTAAAATAATTTTTTTCTTAAATTATATAGCCCTACATAATATTTTTTTTAAAAAAATTATAAAATTACTATTATAATATAAATAGTAAAAGTAGTTATGTTAATTGACCAGAAGCCAGCTGAACTGGTTTCCCAGTAACAATTTGATATGTAAATTTTATGTGCGCAGAATCGGTAGAAGTATTAAACTATAACAAAAAGAATAATAATAATAGTTATAGTACTAATAATAATAACCTCCACAGGGAAGTGCCAACTGTTATTTTTTTTATTAGTAAAATATGAATATTATGCATTTAACATATATTTAAAGTTAACTTTTGGACGTTGGGATAAAGTTCCGAGAGGGTTAATAATTCTTCAAAATGAGTTCTTTATATTATTATTATTATTATTATTATTATTATTATTATTATTATTATTATTATTATTATTATTATTATTATTATTATTATTATTATTATTATGAAAATAATACGCAAAAAAGGTCAAGGCTTCTGTATTTAGTAAAGTTTCGCACATGGAAAAGCACAAGGCCGACCCCTCCAGTTGGCTCGTTCCTGATTGAATAAATTTTTTAGATTTCAGTAAAATTTAAGGAAATTAGAAAAAAATATTCTATTGGACATTGTGGATATTGTCAAATATTTTTAAAATTGAATAGCAGAATAGAGAGTGTACACTAGTAAATTTTATTTGTTCGTTTTTAATACTATTATTATCCATAAATATTATTTATTTATTTAATACTATTATTTTGCCCATAACTATTATTCATTTACTTATGAATTCTAAAATGATTAATTATTGTTATCATGCTTATAGTGTTTATACATTTATTAATTATATCATACTTAAAAAAATAGTTTATAAATCTTATTAATTATTATTGTAATGTCTATAAGTTATGTTCATATATTTATGATTTTTAAGGTAATAAACAACCTCGTCCCAACTCGTCTATAAGTCCCAACTCGTCTATAATTATCAAACTTTGATTTGTTAAATTTTTTAGAATATAAGAAACTTCCTTCATCTGAAATAGGAATAATAATTTTTAAAATTTTAAAACTTTTTATATTTTTCTGTATAATTAAAATAATAACTTGTATATTACATAAAAAAGAAAATTTTTTTATAGACGGGATGTAAAAACATATTATTTACCATATAGTAATAGTATGAGTTACTGTTTTCATTACTATTATTATTATTTCTATATAACTACTTACTAAGAATTTAAAAATATAATGCTAAAAACTTACTTCCATCATAAAAGTGCTTGAATTAGTTTCAATATCATCATCGCTTCTGTAATAACAATATTATTATTATTATTATTATTATTATTATTATTATTATTATTATTATTATTATTATTATTATTATTATTATTAAAACTTGCCCAACTCTTGTAAATAATTGTGTGATGAGTTTGAAAGCTCCATAATCCGCAGGAATAAAGGAGCCCATTTGAGCCTGCCGTTATACAATTTGTAAATATTTTTTTGGATATCTTTTATAGTAATTAGTAATAAATTGATCCCATTATTTGGCATAATGCAATTTGTCGAAGATAAGTAGACTTCCCGCTCATAGAAGGGCCCGAAATAAGCTGAAAATTGCTATCTATACGTTATTATTATATTGTTAATATTAACATTATTACTACTACTACTACTATTGTTGTTGTCGCATTATAAATATTTCGATTGCTGAAATTATTTTTTAGCATTTAATAATTTTACATTTACTTATTTATCAATACAGTTTTTAGTAATACTTTAAAAAATAATTATAACTTTAGTTCATAACTTTAATTACAATAAGAAAACATTATTTTTACTTAACTTTAATCTAAACAAACACTTTGTTATTATTATTGTAATATAGCAATATTAGCAGTAGAAGCGATAAAGCTAACGCCACCCGCTGTAGCATAAACATCGTTTGGCTGCAGATGTGCACTTCCACTCACAGAGAGAATAGGATGGAAGCCTTTTTAATATTCATATTAAATTTTTACAAGTCTACGTAAAGTTTATTGTTATTTTATACAAGAGAAGTGTAAAAAAAAAGAGGATAAATATATATAAACTACATCGTTAATTATAAAAATATATTTATAAATCTACATTAAATATATTGTTATTTTTTACTAAAAAGAAATAATGAACCATGAATAAAAGTAATCCGCAATATTTATATTATATTTTTATAAGTCTACTATAAATTTTATTGTAATTTTTTACTGATAGGTATATTTAAAAATGGAGTTTAAGTGGAAATAATCCACATTATTAATTATGAGTATTTATAAGTCTACATTAAATATTACAAATATTTGTTTTCAAAAATTTTAAAGAAAAATGGACTATAAGTAGATTTATAATATTAATTTCGTTCCTAATAATTTACTATAAATTTATAAAAATAACTTAAGAAGTTATTATTTGGAGTCTTTTTAAAAAATTGATAAAGTTTTTATGTAACTATAAATAACATACGAGTACCATTTCCAATAATAATTAAAAAAAAAATTATGCGTATGTTACAATAATAGTTTTAGAAAAATTATTTATATGTTCATATATTAATTCTTATATTAGTTTTATATTGTGTAACTTGAAATAAAAAAATAAAA